CAAAGCTGGCAACTGTTCTTAAAATGTGACCATCAACAGAATAACGGCATTCAGTCCAATCTCTGGCACCAAACCACCCATTTTTGCACGAGGTTAAGCGATGAGTCTTCCCTGGTCAACTGGCCATAGCAATTGCTGCTGACACTATGTTTTTTTCCTTCTCAAGGCTGCTTTTCCAGTGATTTGGGTTTGGGATTTTTCATTGGTCAAAACAAAAGAAAGCTAAGAACCGCCAGAGAAATGAATTTAACACTATCGACAACTTCCCTAATTAAATAGAGTGAGTTCTGCCTACACTCTGTTAAATTAATTCTCCCTTCTGACAGATAATTCTGCTCTCATTGCTGAAAGACACCACTCTGCTTTGTGTATCCATAACTAAGCTGGCAGAAGAAGTTGAGAGCCAGTGGGATCTTGCTGATTGACTTGTGCTTAAAGCACATTCCCATTAGGTAGCTCTAAGAATGACAGTTTATTGAGCACAGCTGAGCAAGAGATAAATTAAGCCTGTTCAAACAACTAGACCAGTAGGCAAGTTAGGAGCAAAATAGGTGTTCTGTAAAATATGAATGTAATAGAATTGTATTCATCTTTCCTACTGCTTGCTCAAGACATTGGGATGTTCTTTAAATTATTGAAAAACACATAGTTTGTATCATATTGTCACTTATCATAATCACAGATTTGCCAAAGTAAGCTAAGTAAATCATTATTGTACAATGTGGCTAAAACACCTCGGAGTCTAATAATGGGCTATAATTGGAGTATTTTTTTGGTTCTGTGAACTTATTTGCAAATAGCAGGACACCAAACAGCCAACGACAGAAGAAAATCTCTACTCACACATCTTTTTGGAGTAGAGCTTTGCTGGGCAATTCTTGCCTGAGCACCATTATCTCCCACCTGGACAACTGCTCTGAAAATCATCTATGGTAGCCATTGCCTCCTGATATTCATAGCCACAATGAATAGGACTGAGCTGTGTAACCAATAGGAAATCACAGAAATGACAAGGCTAGGTCATTAAAAAAACCCTGTGGCTTCCACCTTGCTCTCTCCTGGATCACTTACTCCAGGGAAAGTCAGCTGCCACGTTATGAGGACACCCAGGCAGCCCTATGGAGAGGTCCACATGGCAAGACACTGAGACTCCTGCCAACAAGTATGTGAGCAAGCCATCTTGTAAGTGGAGTCTGCAGGCCCAGTTGAGTCTTTAGATGACCACAGCCCAGGTCAACATCCTGACTGTGACCTCCTGTGCCGGAACCACCCAACTAAGCCACTCTGAATTCCTGACCCACAAATATGACATGAGATAATAAACATAGATTGTCATTTTTGGTTGCCAGGTGTTGGGGCAATTTGTTACACAGCAGTAAGTACCTAACACACTCTTGTCTTCCTACCTAAGATACATACAGCAGCCAGGATGTCTATCTCTTTGAAAGGTAACCAGATCACAGTACTCCCCTTATCAGAACTCTCTGAAGCCTTCATCTCTCTTAGAATAAAACCCAGAGTCTTTACAATCTGGCCCTGACCACCTGGCTGAGGTCATTTCCCTTATCCACTCTGTTCCAGCTACAACAGCCTTTTTGAACACATCTGGCTTGTTCTCACCTCTGGGATTTTGCATTAGGTATAATCCCTCTGCTCAGAATGCAAAGTCTTTTGCCCTAGATCTTTGCATGCCTAGTTCCTTCTTAGTTTTCAACTGCACCTTGAAAAAGCCTTTCCTTATCCACCAATCTAAAATAGCCTGCCCATAACCTGGTTATATTTTCTTCATGACACTTACCACTGCTGGTTTGTATTGATTTAACCTGTCCCCACCCCAGGTCCCAGAATAGAAGCTCCTTTCTGGCCCACCTTTTAAAAGGCTGATGCTTATTGCCTTTAATGATGTCTCACGTGTAGTTGGCTTTTAGTAAGGATTTATTGAATAAATGAAGGAATGAAGGAATGACAAAAATTTCCTGACTTAGAAAAGGAGATTGTTGTTAGTTGTTAGTACCTACAAAACAGGTGAACACGTAGAAGTTAGTTATGCTATCACTAAACCGTTCAGAGGGTGAAGAGATGGTACTCAGCACTTGAGTACTCAGTACTCAAAAGTACTCAGGTACTTTTTATTGATTCTGGGTTGTGACACCCTCACTTCCCACTCTGTGGACAGGGTAAGGAGAGAGCATAACTGTCCATAACATAAGGATACCCTGGAAATTGTATGAACTATAGTTCTTTTCCATCCTTATCCTCGAAAAAGATTCAGATTTGCACAATAATCCCTCCAGGTTTAAGAGAAAAATAATTAGCTATCCTGCCCCCCATCCCCCAAAGACTTATGTAAAAAGACATTACATTAAATATTGATATATGAAAGTGAGGGAGTCCAGCAGGTTCATGGGAATACTTGATGCATAGTTAGCCCTTAAGGGAAAAGTGTGGGAGAATGCTAAAGGAAAGAGCCACAGTTAAACTGTGGAAGTGTCCCACACACCATACATCATCATCATCATCATAAATGTCACTGGCCCCAACCTCGTTGTGTCTTATTTAACTTCCATAAATCAGCAATCTATTTCCCTTCCTTCCTTCCTTCCTTCCTTCCTTCCTTCCTTCCTTCCCTCCCTCCCTCCCTCTCCCTCCCTCTCTCCTTCCTTTAGTTCATCTTCCAATCCAATAAAATACACTATTGATATTTTGATGAGCTCTGACATTGTGGATATGATATGGTGAAGTGAAGCCCATGATAAAAAGTACAAGTGGAGGTTCCATGGAAGGTCCAGCCTAGAATTCTGATGTGCTCCAGCGTCTGCTGGATTTTATAGTGAACGAATTGGTCCCATCATTTCAAGGTGAACCTCACTGAATGGGAAACTGCAGTGAAAGAGAGGCCACCACCCCTGGAAACTCACTGGGTTTACCTCTGGCAGAAATAAAATGCAACGAAGCACAATAAACCTGGAGAAAGGATGGCTTTTTAATAGAACAAACACATTAAAACCTTACCCTAGTACTGTAATTGGATTTTATTCATGCACCTGGCTCCTGTTATTTCTGAGCCTAATATTTAAATAATCAAAGTGACCTAAACAATAAGGAGGCGGGCAGAGCTGTGGAAAAACAAGAACAGAAGGTTGGCAGGAACATTTTGGGCAGGTCAGTGTCTCACCAGCCAGGGTGGGGAGTGATGGGGTCGGAAACATGCCCTGCTCCCTCCTCTTCTATGGATTAAATGCAAGGGAGAGGGAAAGGCATCATCTCGTAAATGTGATTTGCTGACAGAGGAGTCTGTGCATTGTATATTTCTAAGCAAGAAAAAGGCACAGAACAGTAGGTACATGGATTCATTTTATGAGAAAACAAAGCAATACAACAAAACCGATGTGTGTGTATTGTCATATGCATAGTAAGAAGGTCTGAGAAAGACACAGGCTAAATTATTCAAGGTCATCTGAGGACTGGGGTGGGTGATGGGGCATGTGCAGGAGGACAGACTTTGACTTGACTTCATATATTTCTAGGAAGCCTTCTGTGAGCTGGCTTGGCAGAGAGCTGATAGGTAGGATTTCTGGTAGTCCCGAGTGGGGTAGATATTCCAAGAAAACCCCACATGCCATACCCTGATTCGGGTGTAAAAAGCACAGTCTCTGTTATAGGGCATGGGGAATTCAGGAGGAGAAGAAATTCGGGAATCAAATTGGTAGAGGACAATTTAAACCAGTGCTTTACATAATGGCTGGAAATGGGAATGAGGAACAGATTTGCCCTGCAGAAGACAAATCCATTGTGTCATTATTCCTTTTCTTTCTTTTTTTGGGTCAGAAGAAAGAAATCAGTGACACTTGGAAACAGGAATATTCTTTTTTTGTTTTTTTTAAGATTTTATCTATTTACCTGACAGAGAGAAACACAATGAGAGAGGGAACACAAGCAGGGGGAGTGGGAGAGGGAGAAGCAGGCCCCCCGCCGAGCAGGGAGCCCGATGCGGGGCTCGATCCCAGGACCCTGGGATCATGACTGGAGCCGAAGGCAGATGCCCAATGACTGAGCCACCCAGGTGCCCCACAAAGGAATATTCTGGCACTAGCTCCAAGAGAGGGTCCCTGAATCCTATTCCATCACATTCCTTTAAAAGGGAAGCAGAGCTAACCTGATCGCCAGATTAGTCGGCTTTTCACCTGGCATTTCTGTAGGATTTCACCTAACAACCCATTGAAATCTGAAAGGACTTTCTTCGGATCTGAGTGGCAGCCCGGGGTACTTGAACCTGGGCTCCAGCCAGCCGGCACCACACATGGAAGGAGCACGTGGAACGACGGTCAGAACAAAGGTGGGACCAGAGGAGGGGACATGCAATCATGTCTGATGGATGCCACATACAGATGGTGCCACAGCTCCAATGACTTATGAATAAATCCCAACACCTATCCTTTAGAGTGAGGGAAAAGATCTGTGTGAGAGAGAATCCAACCAGTTATGTTTCCCTAGAGAATAAAGGCGGAAGCACGGGCTGATTTTTATGATGACAGATTTGTCACCGTGTTGTCTCTCCTGGGAGAGGTGGATTGGTAGTAACTCCCTGGCAGAGACTGAACCCCTGAAACTTATCTAGGGAGTCAGGGCAAGAAAATGGGGGGAATCTCCAAGACAAGCAGGCTTTCAGAGACCTGCCCCTGTCATGGACCCGGTGCTAGGAATCCTGTCGATTCGGCCAAGAACTAGAAAAATCACAAAGCAAACATCGGCGCGTTTGGCATAGGGCTTTTCTAAAGCACTAGGCAATTCCATCAGATCAGGGAGCAGAGGGCATGAGACAGGATAATTCAGAGAAGGGGGACAGGCAATATCCCAAGAGGCAGGTAGCAGACTCCTGACTTTTCTGGGGCATACCAGAGAGGAGAACCTATGGTGCGTGTGAGTGTGGGCACCCACGTGTGTGCGCAACTGCGTGCGGGAGGGGCTCGGGGCTGGTGTTGGCAAAGAAGGCTTCTCACCATTCCGCTTCCGTGCCTCCTCCTTTGTCACCTTCTGCTGTGCCATGACATTCTGGGGCGAGCGCCTCCCTGAGCTGGGCTTCCCTGATTCGTTGCTGATGACAGAGCCATTCTCGCTGGGCGACCTGCTGGAAGTAACCATAGCAACAGGAAGACGGTAAGTTCTGACTCCAGCAGCCTCCTCTCAAGGTTATTTTATTTGCACCGTTTATGTCTGTCGCCTTTCATTCTGGTTTTATCCATAGAGAAGAAATGATACCGGAAAAGGAAAGAAAACAAAACAAAACTAGCCCCACACTACCACATGGGTTAGGCAGCTGGCCATCGTGAAGTATGTCGTTTATGGGGAGTGCTTAGCTCTGCAGAGAAGTTCAGTGAGCGCGGCCCTCAGGTCCCATCTCTGTTCCATTACCCCCAGTGACTATGGAAATGGTGGTGATGGTGTTTGTAAGCATGCCCTCTTTTTAAAACACAGCACTCTGAATAGTGTTGCAGAGCGTTTGATTCACGTGGCATCTGCAGGGACATGCATAAGACATAACGTTCTCTTTGGCGATTCTCTTTACAGAATAGACCTTGACCACTAAAGCTGAAGTCACCCCACCACTGAGTTTGTCATTCTGCTTCCCACACTGACACGTGCGCATACGCACGCTCTTTAACTGTGCTAACTGGCAACCATTTACATTTGAAACTACCAATTTGAGCTATTTGTTCCTTCAGGAGATACTTTATGTGCACCAGCTCTGTGCCGGGCACTGCGCCAGGTATCCTGGTATACAGAGATCCGAAGATACCACCCGTGTTCTCTAAGAGCTCCCCATCAGAAGCACCAACCAGGTGCCAAGGACTACGTGAATGCTTTCACAACTCTTAGGGAATCATCAGGACAATCTACTGGTTTGGTGATTGTCACCCTTGTTTCTCAAGTGAAGAATGTGATGCTCAAGGAGGTGGAGGGTTTTGTCCAGGGCTGAGTTAGGAAATGGCAGATCTGTCCTGGAAACCAGGGATCCCCCTGCAGGCAGGGGCTCTCCCTCCATGCCAGAGCACCTCTCCTTTATTGCTTCCTAAAACGTCTCAGGTGAGGCAGGCCTGTACACAGGGAAAGCCTCAGGGCCTTCTCCCCTTCCGTTGGGGCCGACTCTGGTCTTCTGGGACTCTCTGGGAAATGAGCTCTCAGAGCCCCTGCTGAGGTTCGTGCTTCCTCGGGCCTCTGATCATCATAAAGACCAACTGCCTTCCCTTCTGTGGAGACAAGTCAGGAGGCAGATATCCAGAGGCCTCATCAAACCTCTTATTCTTCTACTGTCAATTGTCCAAATTCAGAACGTAAAGGCATCCAGCCCCTACAATGGAAAATTGATTGTAATAACATGTAACCCTTGACCAGTAAGTAAGCAGTTTCTAAAGTGGATGCTCCTCTTCTCTCCCCTCCCTTCTCTCTCTCTCCATGCTCTGGGAACTTTAGCACCCCAAAGCATGACCAGTGAAAGGGCCCACTCACATACACGGGATGATGCAACATCTGCCCAGAGGGTTCCATAGAACGACAGAGCCAAATGAGATGTTCCTGGCCAAAGTGCCTCAGACAAGCATAAGTTTGGGAAGTCTTGTTTCTTTTTTTGGGGGGGGGGTAAGTCTTATTTCTTGCCTTCCTTCTTTGAATAGTCCTCATGCATATTAACATATCAAAGGCCCTGATCAGTCCTGTCATAAAGAGACTCCTCTCCTTTTGTTTAATCCAGCATCTCCTACTAGTTTACTTGGCCCCAGATCTCTTTCACCATACAAATAATGCAGCTTGGGAAAATATGGATAAGGTATTAATTCATTAAATATATATTGTTTACCCCACAGCTATCTGATCACTAAGTGCTGGCTGTACACAGACACATCCACAGAGAAGACATAAGCCCTTGGATTATTTTCAGAACCTCTCAGTTAATGGCCCCTACTCTTCCTACTGGCTTTATTGGGGTCCAACAAACTCTCATTGGGGTCCAGAGAGGAAGGAAGGGGAAAGGCTTCTTGTAACCTATTTTATGTTCATAAAATAGTTAATGGTATTTGTAGCATTTGCATATTCTTTCCTTCATTTGATTCTGAAACAATTCTCTGGTTGTTCCTCTCACTCCAGGGAAAGGTATGAATGAGCACATTTCTGGAGAGAAACTCCACCTCTGCTTTACTCTTTCATCAGCTTATAGTCTTATGTTTACATGGGGCCATCAACTCAAACATGTGGTCAAAAACAGAGAGTAAGATTTGTATGTGTGTGTGTCCGCTCACATGACAGTGACAAAGATGCTGTTGAAAGCAAGAAAGGGCCACCTGTGAGGCTGTAGTTTTAGGCTATTGAACTCCGTAGGCTTCTTTCTGGGGATATGGGTGTACATGGAGCCTGGATGAAGGGGCTGCTGAGCAGTTATGGCCAATCACTGAATTGAATGGCTGTCCCTATGAGGTTGATTCTCTATCCTTACCCATTAATCCCAGTCACAGACCAACAAAATAGTATCACCAAAAGCTTTGGCTAGAAGAACAGGACCCGCAACACCTGTCTGTTTGTCTACAAATGGCTGAATCCTCAGATTTCAGTTTTCAAACAGTTTTAAAAACAGATTTAAAAATCGAGATATCTTCATGACCATCCAATCACTGGTTTCTACTGTTTTTCACTTGCAAAACTTTTTGGATCACCTAACAGACCCATTCTGGGAGGTCATGTGTCCTCAACCAGCAGGAACAAGGGAACTGATGTGACAAGATGGGAAAGCCAGACAAATAAATGCACGATGAGTTTGCTGTTGGTTTTGGCATCTTAATATCTTCCCAAATGATCAGAGACTCCCGTGGTCAGCTGAACTTGAACAGAGGTGAGGTTTCTCGCATAGCTTTGGCAATGATACAGCCAGCCCTTAGTAAAATTCTATTTTTACAGTAATATTATGAAGCAAAAATAGAAATCATTCAGCTGTATAGACATTGCTTTCTTTACCTATATTTGTTTCATAAGCTGTTATTTCTTAATAAAATTCTGAGGGTAAGTAATTGAACTTGATTACCAAGAGTAGACTCCTTGCTAATTCAAGAAGAAATGCTTGTTCTAAAAAAAAATTTTTTTAAATAAATCTTTATACAATTTAAAATCACTCGTCTAGAATGGGTGGAAAAGAATTTTTATTCTTCCCATCAATGCTGTGTTAATATCCTAATTTTAGTAATTCTGTTTTTTCTTTTCAGTGTCCTCTAATAGGTGATACATAAGTTGTTACCATGCCTTTATTGTATCTGGCAAAGATCATAATGAGAATAATTACTGTAGGTAATTCTATTTGCCAGTCAATTCAGATAATTCGTCTATTGCTTCTCTGTATGTTTCAACTCTCCATGCTGGGGCAGACCATTGCGGTTGTGATCCCAATTTATTCCCACCTCCCCGTAACCAAGCTTTGATGGCCTCCTCCCACACTGACTCTGGACTAGACCATGTGTCTTGCTTTGGCCAACAGAACAGTAGCAAACATGACACAAGCAAAGATTTGAGAAGTGCCTGCACTTGGGGGCTTGTTTTCTTGCTGCCCTTGGCACCCTGTAACCACCCTGTGAGAAAGCCAGAGCTAGCCTGCTAGAGGATGAGAGACCATTTGGCAGGCGGCCCCAGGTACCGGGCCACCCCAGACAAGGCTATCACCAACAAGCCAGCCCGGCTAGCCGACTACCTGACTACAGATGCATGAGTGAGCCCAGCTGAGATCAGCCAAGCCTAGCTCAGCCCAGAACCACCACCTACCTGAGCTCAGCCCAAACTGCCAACCCACCAAAAATCATGAGCTGAAGAAATGGTAGTTGTTTTAAGCTGCTAAGCTTTGGAGGAGTTTGTGGTGGAGCAATAGATAACTAATCCATATCTCCTCAACCTTCTTTCCTACTCAAGCTGGAATCCAACCTTCTGTTTCTCTGTACCTCTTTCTGAGGTACCAAGAACTCCTGGAGGGAAAAACACAGTTGCAGGAATCCAGTGCAAAATTTGTGTATTTGACACAGACAATCCTTCCATCCCCCTCAAATTACTCCCTTCTCTTGGCTTCTTGGATTCCATTCTTGCTTTGTCCTCTTCATGCCTCTTTTTCCTGATACTTTTTGGTCTCCTATGCTGATTCTTCTTCATCATCTGGACCTCTAATAATCATTGCAATGTTCCAGGGGTCAGGTCTTGGGTGTCTTCTCTAACTATCCTCTCCTGGGTGACCTCATTCAGTGTCTTAGCTTTAAATATCCAAATGCTGACAACTCCTCCATTTATATTTCTACTCTGTAACTCTCCTCTGAACCGCACACTCATACAGCTAGTTGAATTCTAAACACTTCAACTTGCTTGTCTAAGAGGAACCTCAAACTTAACATGCCCACATCCAAACTCATGATCGTCCCCTACAGATTTCTTCTCTTCTGGTCCTCTCCAACACGACCAGTGGCAAATGTGTCCCTCTCTATTTCCATTCCTCACAACAGTCTATCAGCAAAGCAAGCCTTGTCAGCTCTTCCCTCAAAACATGTCTACAATCCCATCACTTCTCACAGTACCATGCCTTGGCCCACACTGCCATGTCTCACCTGGACTACTGTAATAGCCTCCTGACTGTCTCTCTGCTTCCATTCTGCCTCTCTACCATCTGTGTTCCACACAGCAGCCAGCATGAGCCTTTACAACTGCAAGTCACAGTATGTCACTGTTCTTCTCAAAACCCTCCAATGACTTCTGATCTTTACTCAATAAAATTCCAAGTCCTGACTTTGGTCTAGAGAGCCTGACATGCTCAACTTCTGTCAACTTCTCTGACCCATCTGCCACCGCTTCCTCCCTAGTTCACATCGGCCTCCTTGGCCTTCTTGCTCTTCTTCGAGTATGTGAAGAGATTTCTTCCTCTGGGCTTTGCACATACTGTCCCATCTGCTTGGAACATTCTTGTCCACAATAGCCTTGAGGTTTATATATCATTTCATTCAGGTCTTTCTCAAGTGTCACTTTATCAGAAAGTCCTTTCCTGACTTCATAGCTAAAAATGGCATCATGCCCCTGTCCCCTTCCATTGCTCTATCCTCTTACCATGCTTTGGTTTTCTTCTTCATACCCATCACCACCCGACTTACTGCACATCTATTTCTCTATTTGTTTATTGCCTAGCTCTCCCCGCCAGATTGTAAGCACCACGAGAGTAGGAACTGTGTCTTGTTCACTGTGGTATCCCCAGTGCCTGGTGAGTAACACCCAACAAATATGTTAGGTGAAGGGAGGGAGAAAAGGAAGGAAGCAGGGGTGATGTAGTTCTCCCAGCTTCCACTGTGGTCTCAGGCAAAGGAGCGAAGGAACTTGGCAATGGGAGTTGGTTTGGCCAGCCAACAGGGCTTACCATAGAGCTCATTACCTCTTTATAAGACTATTGTAAAGTCCTTACAGTGAGTTTCCTGGCCTCTAGCCTAACCTCTCTCATCTATCACCCACATTGCCACTGGAGTAGTCTTTCTAAAATACAGGCTGAACGTCACTGTCTTGCAGAAGAACTTTCAGCGGCTTCCCACTGCCCAGAGAATACACGTCAAACTCCCTAGCCTGGCAGTTGAGCCCCTCCACAATTTTCATCCATCTGGTTTCATCCTTCACTGCACCCCAGCCACTGTGAACTATAAACCCTAGGGACATTCACCAGTGCATGAACATGTGCTGGTCCCTCTTTTCTCCCAGTTTCTTTGGACTGGACGCCTTTATCTCTCCCCAACTATTGACACTCCATTTACCCTTTGAGGCCCAGCTAAAACATGAGCTCCTCCACCACCCTTTCCCTCATCAGAATTAAGCTTTCTCCTCTCTTTTCCACGGCACTTAATTTAGACTCCCCTATGGGCACTCACACATCATGCTTGGTTTCCAGGTATTTATCTCTCTGTCCCTCCATCACGAGATCCTTGGGGTCAGGTGTCAATCGTAATCCTTTCTGTAGCCTTTCCAATGCATGTCAAAGTGCTTTGTTCATGGTAAAAACTCCTAAAAAATTTTCTTTTAAGATTTATTTATTTATTTTAGAGGGGGGAGGGGCAGAGGGAGAGAGAGAATCGCAAGCAGACTCCACCCCAAGTGTGGAGCCCGACACAGGGCCCAGTCCTACAACCCCAGTCCCACGAGCCCGAGATCATGACCCGAGCTGAAACCAAGAGTCAGATGCTTAACCAACTAAGCCACCCAGGTGCCTCCTCCCAAAACGTTTTTTTTTTTTTTTAAAGATTTTATTTATTTATTTGACAGAGAGAGACAGTGAGACAGGAAACACAAGCAGGGGGAGCGGCAGACAGAGGGAGAAGCAGACTCCCTGCAGAGCAGGGAGCCCGATGTGGGGCTCCATCCCAGGACCCTGGGACCATGACCTGAGCCGAAGGCAGACGCTTAATGACTGAGCCACCCAGGCGCCCCTTAAAATGGTTTTTGAACTCAAACCATGAACTCTTGGAAATTGGCCAGATAAAATCCAACTCTACTGAATAAAAGGCACTGCTTATAAGATAAGTGCAAAACTACAAGTGTGACACCAGTGCCAAATTTGCAGTAATACGTAGGAAAGCTAAATCTCTGCTGTTGTGGCTGATGGGTGATATGAAACCTTACAAAGCGTGGCTCATGAGAAGCAAGTATTATGATTCTCATCATCTCTCTTAGTCTCCTCAAATATTCAAAATGAGCATGCAGGGGAATTTTCAAAGAAAAAAGTGGTATTAACTTGAAGGCTTCAGCTGCTCTCCCCATCAAGTATTCCCCTTGCTGGGACAGAGAGGCAGAAGTTGGCCCCGTGCCTACCTCTTTCTGGTTTCGGTGGACTTGGCCGTCTTGATAGTGCTTCCATCCTGGGTGATGTCTCTTTCCTGAGAGGCAGGAGCATCTCTAACAGGGAGTGGGAGGACCACCGTTTCCTGAGTCACAGGGATGACCTCCTCATCTGCCCCTTGCTGGCCCAGGTGCTGCTTGGCATAATCAAAGCCTTGCACAGGCTGCAAAAAGGAAATGGATTTGTGGTCAGACTTCTGACAGAGTGTGACTCGAATGATGGCTTTAAGAGAAGATGGGCAGGACCACACTTAGCTTTCTGATGAACACGAGTGAACTCAAATCTCCCCCATAATTCCGGTCTGCAAAATCAGAATCCGTGCTCATTCCACCCAGCTACGGAATCTCCCTAGACAAGACTTACTTGGAAAAACGAAGAGTATAAACAAGATGCAAATATGTGTGTGAGAACAAATTTCTTTCAAGAATTTTAAACCACCAATTTTAAGTCACTAGATACTGCTAATTAGAGACTCTTAATTGATATGTGAAATAGGTCCTGTATCATCTCCTGCCTCAGAATGTCCTGTCATCCCTGAACCCCACTTTTCCATGGCTTTATGTGCAATAAGAGGTGTGTGACTTTGCCAAGTTGCTTGAATTCTGAACCTCAATTTTCTCATCTGAGAAATGAAGACAATCAGATCTGCTTTACCTATACCACCCCTGAGTATGAAAGGGGAACTGCAGCTCCGAAAACAGGGAAAGAAACGTGCTTCCATGCGTGAGGCAGTACAATCATTAATAATAAAATGGGATTTATGGAATCACTCAAATCCAGACCTATGGCTCTCCTATGATTCATCACTGGGTAATCAGCAAGCCTTTTATTGCACAATGTCTGAAATCCCAAGTGAACAGGGCAGCTGTGAGCAAAGCCCAACAGACATCTATTAGCCGGGCAATAAAAAACCAAGAGGCGTGTTTAAACAATTCCTGGGAGTGTCTCTATTCGGCTTTCTGCCCCAGAGCAGCACAACAGTGATTTAAGGCAGGACAGTGGGGTGGCGGAGAGCACCAGCTCTGAAACAGACTGCCTGGGTTCCAGTGCCTGGCACATAGTAAGTGCTCAGTCGATATTAGTTAATATTGTTCAACTCCCTATTAAATCACGGGCCAGGTGAAATAGAAATCAGTGATTCTCCAAGAAAATCTGGGGGTGAAACTCAACCTCTACCATGGGGGTTCCCTCAGAACCCGACATGGTGAGGAGCTCCCCTTCAGCGGTGAATTTTGCTAAGAAATGTAGCAGGGAGCATCCAGCTAGATGGAATGGTCTAGGGCTATGGCCCAACCCGTCAAATCTTCCTACTGCATCTCAGGACAGGATGGAGCTTTGCTAAATCCAGCAAAGCTTCCTTATGTCAAGCTGTCTGTAGTTCTGCCATGGACAGTGCCTCCAGTTCCCAGGGAAACTCACTGTGGGAAGTGCACTCAGCCCTCCCTCTTCGCTGAGACACACTCTCTGATCCAGATGGTGACCAGGGGCATTCTGTGCCAGGATCCTGCAACGTGCTTCTGAAATAGTGTATGTCTGTTGGTTTCTTTCCCTCCTGTGGGGCCGCATGAAACAGAATGAGCCTTTGAACCACCTGGTCTTGTTCCTAGACTACTGGATGGCCTCCTCCTCCAACCGACAGTCACCAAGTGGATTCGATAGAAATGTTTCTAGAAGCTGACCTTTTCTCCCCAGGTCCACTGTTTTATTGTCTCCTGGCTTGGTCTTGTTGCTTCCATTCAGGTCCTTTCTAGGTGCACCCTTGACAAGCTTCCAAAGCTATCTCCCTGAAAACCACTCAGGTCATGTCACTCCTCCATTAAAAATGTTTCATAGCACTCAAACTCTCCAGCAAGGCATTCAGGCCCTTCACAGCCTGGCGAGACCCACCTCCTGTTGGCCCCTTTTCCGTGATATCCCCATGCCCCCATGATCCTATTTAGCGTAGTGCTGACTACAGGTGTTGGGCACTGGCTTGTGCCAGGGACTGTGCCTGGTGCTGGAGATATGAAGATGAATAATAGCTGGTCCCCTGCCCTCAAGGAGCATTTGATACTATTGGTACAGTGCCGAATGCATGACATCAATTTGACACTTCAGCCCCACTGTAGTTCAAGGAGGTGGGTATTATTATTATGATTCCCCACTTTAAAGATAAAGAAACTGAGGTCTGGAGAGGTTTAGCCACTTCCCCAGGCTCACGCAGATTCTTCCCAGGGCCTCTCCTCTCCTTCTGCAGCCTCCCATCTTGGTTAAGCATCTGCTACCGTACTTGGCCTGGCTTTCGTGCTGAGAGTCCTGGCCTGTCAGTGAAGAATTGAGAGTCTCCAATGGCAGCTAAGACTTCCCAAGAACCTAGTGAGGACAACAAGCTGGCTCTGGCCTTTTCCCTCTTGCCCCCACTCTCTCTGGATTTGTCCCCTCACTCTTTACACTGGGTTGAAGTTATCTGCTAGATACTTCAGGCGACTGGGTTGACGATGAGTGAGCATCGTCATGACATTAAGGAATGACAAGTTCAAGGGTGGCCACTGTTATTAGGTTAATAATAACAGTTCTTGCATATGTTCAGTACTTACAGCCTGCAAAACACAGACACCTCATTTCATGCTCACAACCACCCCCCGGGGGAAGCAAGGCAAACATCACAGTCTTCATTTCACAGGTAAGAACACAAAAGCTCAGAAAGGTTCAGTGACTTGCCTAAGATCACACAGCTAAGTGGTGAAAGACTCAAGACTAGTCCCTTACTCTTCTGACTGATAGGTAGTTGTCTTTCAACCTTCAATCTGAAAATCACCTGCAATTCATTAATTGTCCCTGGACACACATTAGTGAGTGACCCCTGACACCACTGAGACATCATGAAGTATCTATAGTTGCTTCAGTGGGTTTTGTAAAATTATCAGATCAAAATAATCCCCAACAATTTCAAAAGGTAGACAAGTTATCCAGACCTTTTAAGAAAAAAAGCATGTATAATAATAAAGGCCAACCAACAGATGAATGGATAAAGAAGATGTGGTATATATACACAATGGAATATTACTCAGCCATAAAAAAAATTGGAATCTTGACATTTGCAACAGTGTGGATAGAACTAGAGGGTACTATGCTAAGTGAAATAAGTCTATCAGAGAAATATTATCTGATTTCACTCATATGTGGAATTTAAGAAACAAAACAGATGAACAAGGGGAACGGAAGGAAAAATAAAATAAGATGAAATCAGAGAGGGAGACAAACCATAAGAGACTCTTAATCATAGAAACAAACTGAGGGTTGCTGGAGGGGAGGTAGGTGGGGGGGTGGGGTAACTGGGTGATGGGCATTAAGGAGGGCACTTGATGGAATGAGCACTGGGTGTTACATGCAACTGATGAATCAATGAACTCAACTTCTAAGACCAATAATACACTATGTTAATTGATTTGAAATTTAAAAAAAAAGAAAAAATAAAGGCCAATTTGTATGTAATATTTATGTGCCAGGCACAGCTCAAAGTAACTTTCAGAGCTCACTTAATCTTCACAACAACCTATAAATAAATAAATAAATAAATAAATAAATACTGTTATCATCCCCATTTCACAGATGGGAAAACTGAGGCACAAAGAGGTTAAGTACAGGTCATACAGATAGTATGTGAAAGAGAGGAAACAGCCGGGCATCTTTAGGGGGTGACTGACCTGTCCCGAGCAGATGGTCATGCCAACCATTGCAGGCCCTCCAAGCTCCATCCTGCATCTGGATGTGGCCCTAACTACTTTCCCGTAAGGCTGCCTGTTCCAGGGAGCCATGTTCTCATCAATTATATGAAGGGAACCACTGGGCAAAGGCTGTGAATCCAATGAACAAAGAGTAAAGAGAAATGAACCAGGAAGAAAGAAGGTCACAAAAGCCCTGATGCCTGGCCCTCTGGCATTTATCATTTTCTAAACATTCTACCTGCAGAAGCCCAGCTGACCACCATGGTTAACAGGGTTCCGTCTATGGTACTTTGTCTCTGCAGAAGGGTGGGGGCGTGCATGCCCTGGCCTCAGCTCGCAGGACAGGCGCGCGTGCGCACTCACCTCCTCTTAGCCTCTCAAGTCTATTACTGAGTCTCAGCAGGGATTTCCCAAGAATGTCGTTGGACACTGCAGCATGCATTCTAAAGACGCAGTGATGTCCCTGGAGACTAGGAGACCATCCTCTCGCTCTATGGATTGGTCCTGAAGACTAACTTTTTCATTCTGCCTTGTCCCTTGGCATTAAATGAATTCTGCTCACACACATGGGTGGTGAGAAGTGATGCCGGTGGCTCTGTCCTCTCAAACACTGCAGCGTCCCTGGGTTGCAGAAGCAGGACTGCAGTAAGAAAGAGGCAGTTCTACCCGCTGGCTTCCAGTGATGAAAGGGCTTTGCAAATCAAAGTGCGCAGCCCAGCCTCACTGAGGGAGAAAACAACCAGCACCACCACACACAAGTGAAGCCAGTCTTCTCTTGGAACGTGAATTGGCTTGATTGTCAACACCGGCCAGGTATCTCTTCAAGCATGATGCCCCAGGTAGGAACATAAAAGGGGCCATGAAAACCCACAAACATGAATCTCTTCCAGCTTCAAACAGCTTTCAAGCCAGAAGGTGTGCTGAAATCGTGGGCTGCCCACCTCACCTTGGCAAATTAATAAAATTTTGGCTTAATCCAAAACACAAAGTTGGCATTTACCTCCATGTGGCAGGTTTCGCATCCCCGGACTCGGCTACAATTAGATTCTGGTAATTACTGTTATGTCTGAAAGGCTCAGATTGTAACTAAGCTAAGATGGGAATGAAATACCCCTTCTTGGAACAGTTTCATGTCTCACTACTTGGACCATTACCAACACTGCGCTGCTTCTGGAAAGCGGGTGCCTTTGGGTTGACAGAAACAGAACAACCTTCTTTGGAGTTGGCTCTTTCATAGACAGAGCATCTGATCAAACTGCAGCTTTGCAACAGGTGAATTAGTTTAATAAACAATAAAATCCATTTGATTTCTTTTGCTGAAGCGAGGTGTGACCATCCAGAAAGGACTAGGCATGCATGACTCCTGGCAGGGACCACCTCCAAGACATTCATTCCAACAGAATGGAATTCCTTTCTCTGTTTCATTCCTGCACAGCTGGACAAAGCTCAGAAGTTCCATGCTGGAAGAGGAGTCTACCTGCCAAATCTCAGGGTTCATGAAGGTGTATAATGTGGAGAGAGCCCAAACACACAGATCTGGGCCAGAGTCATTCCCCTGCTGCCAGTTATGTGATTTTGGACAAATCCCCATAGTCGCTCTCTTTCCTTTGGGTTTCTCAACAATAATGTGAAAATAATAAAACCTGCCCTGATTATGACCTACCTTATAGGGCTGCTGTGATGAGCCAACGAGGTGACAGACCCAGAAGAATCCAGCAAATGGTAAGGCATTATTTAAACATCAGGTATTAGAGATTATTATATTTCCCTCGGGGAGTATCACAAAGGGAGCTATGTGACTGGAAAAGTAGCCTTCGGAATTTCCTGAGTCCACTCCTCTCCCAGGCACCAGCAGTGAGGAGGCTGGGCAGGGTGGGTAGGCTCCCAGCCAGGCTTCACTGGAGCCATTGAACTGGTGTGTTTGATGACCACTGGGCCGAGGCCCTGCAGCTCGCCCATGATGGCAGCCTTTGGCGATAAGCCTCTCCAGCCAATGGAAAAAGGAACATTTTGAGAGTCTAATGTGCCCCAAAGAGCCCTGCATTAGGAGCCCAAAGACCTGGTTCTACCATCAGTTCTGCTACTTACTGTGCGATCTTAAGTTGCCTCGCTGTAAAAGGAGGATGTCAGATTAGACGACCTCCAAGGCCGTTTTCAGGTCTATCTAGCTCCTAATTTTCTGTGCCTCAGTTTCCTCACCTGCAAAATCATGGCCCTTCCTTAAAGCATTGCTGGGAGGACTGAGTTGCTATATGTAAAGCCATCAGAAGCACTTATGGCAAAGAGAGAGCATTAGATAAGCATTCGCTATCATATCCTGATTATAAACATAAAGGGAGTACAACCATGTGAATATACTTAACACTGAATTATATGCTTGAAAGTGGTTAAGATGGTAAATTTTACGTTATCTATAATTTACTATAATTTTTTAAAGATTCAAATAAATAAAGGGTCTCCTTCAAAATGAGGGCTTGCTAGAATGTTTCTGAAGGCATTTGCAATGGCCTCAAAAGCCAAGAGAGAAAAGGCAGGCAGAGCCCTTCCTCACCACCTCACACACCTTTGCTCTCTGAGGCAGGTTCATCATGGTGTCTGGCTTGAAGTCGTTCTTGTTCTTCCGGCAGAGCACGGCAGTGATGATGATGATGATGACCGTGACCACGGCGATGGGCGCCAGCACCGCGGCGATGATCCACAGGTTGTTGGGTGGATTCTTCACCACGGCTGTGGGAAAAGCAGAGGGAAGCACGTGACAAGGGACACGTGGGGAAAAGTAGCCCCCACACCCCAGGTCCCAAGTCATGAGATGGTGAACAGGGTTTGGGATCAGAAAGGCCCTTGCCTTGGGCAAGTTACTCAAGATCTCTGAGTCTCTGCTTTCTCATCTGTAAAATGGGGCTATCACTTTGTGAGGCATCAGAGAGATGAGGTACATGTGGAGCTTTGGTGTGGTCCCTAGTAGGTGCTCAATAAATAATGAGCCTTCATTATTATTAAGAGAAAGAGGAAGATGGATTGTATCCATTTTCCCTACAGGAGATGTCCATGAATCCAAAGAGAAGAGAGAAGACATCTGAGGGTCATAGTTGGACTGCAGGCAGGAGGCAAAGGCCACAGAGAGATGTCTCTAAAAACTGTAGTGAAGCCACCTCTGAGTGAGTGATAAATAAATGTAGCTGAGTAGATGGATCTATGCCCACCAAGGGCTGGTTGGGGCAGCTTGGAAATGCCTTGGTCTGATCATAAGGATCAGGTTGCTCTCAAAGCCAGAGTAAAGAGTAACCAAAGCTATCGTCAGTAGGAAGAATGTGTTATTAGAACAGGAGGTGCTTCTTTGGAGGTGGGGTTGGAATTAATTAACCTGCAAAGGACAACAGGGTGATGGTCATGCTCTCTATCAGGATAGGGGTTAGGGTCACACAGGTGTATACATCTGTCAAAACTCATCAAATGGTATACTTAAGATCTGTACATTTTACTCTACGTAAATTTTACCTGAACATCAGAAACAAGTATTGAATTCTAGGCAATGATATGCACGCTCAAGTGTTTAGGGTTGAAGTCTGCTGATGTTTGCAACTTACTCTGAAATGCATCAGGAAAAAATAAGATGGATGAATGGCTGGACAAAAGGACAGATAGATAAATATGTGATAATGAAAGAATAGTAAAATGCTAATTGTGGAATCTAGGTGGTGGGAACACGGGTGTTCACCGTACGGTTCTTTCAAATTTTTGTAAAGTAGGCTAGGAATATGTAAGAAAAAGAAAAAGTCCTTGGAGTGAGATGGATGAGTCTCCCCCATGATCACTGGCAGGGAAGCTTGGAAGATACTTTCGTCCAATCAAAAAGACCAATATGTTCTTAGAACTGGAGTAAAGGAAACAGTAACCAAAACAATCGTCTAGAAAAAGAAAGAGTTATTGGAAGGGAGTGGGTCCACAGGAAATCTAGAAAAGAGAGCCAAAGGGCAGGCAAGAACTTGTCCATGTCATAGGAATGTGCCTCAACTGGCAGATGTGGGGAATCCAGCTAGGGTAGGTCTATCCTCGTGAACAAGATGGCCGCAACTGGATGTTTCAGCTCGGTGATACTGTCCCCTAATCCCACCCAAGTTCTCTGCTCTCCTACAACCTAGATGATCTCAGAGAATCATGGCTTCAAATACCATCTATGCTGATGATGTTCGGGGGTAGATCTCTAACCAGGACCACTACCCTGAACTCTGGATTCCTATATCCAACTGCTAACTCAATCTCCAATTGGATACTTAAGAGATATCTCAGATTTATTATGTCTAGAACCCAACTCTCAATTTCTCCCCCAAACCCATTCTTCTTGTGATAAGTCTTCAACCCAACAAACTGCAATTCCTTCCTTGCAGTTGCTCCAGTCAATACCTTTGCCATCAATGTTGACCCTTCCCGTTTATTCTCACCCAACATCCTATTCATTGACAAACCTCGTCATCTCCAACTTCTAAATGAATCCACAATCTGTTCACTTCTTTCTAGTGCTGCTCCCACTGTGGTCCAAGCTACCAACATCTCTCATTGAATTACTGCAATGGCCTCCTACTTTGTCCCTTGTCCTCTATAGTCTATTTGCAACACAGCAGCAGAGTGATCCTTTAGAAACTCTGATGACACACTCCTCTGCTCAAAACCTTCCAGAGGCTCCCCCCACCCCTCAGAGTAAGGGCCAGAGTCCTCATAATTTCTAAAAGACACCCTGGTTACTTCTCTGGCCTTTACAGCCCACTGCTCTTCCCTTAACTCACTCTGTTCCAGCCTACCAACCTCCTACTGTTCCTCAAATGTGCTGGACATGCTCCTGTCTCAGGACCTTTGCACCAGCTTATTCTTCCACTTAGAGTGCTCTTCACCTAGACATCCATGGCTCCCTCCCTCACTTCTTTCAGGGCTCTAAACAAGTGTCAAATAGCAATCCCTGCCCCTGGAATTCTCCATCCCCCTCATCCTACTTAATTTTTCCCTTAAACAGTGCCTCTCAAACTGGTGCATGCCAATCGCCTGGGAATCTTGTTCAAATGTACAATTCTGATTCTGTGAATTGAGGTGAGGCTTGAGATTCTGCCTTTCTAACAAGCTCCCAGGTGGGGTCTGTGCAACAGGCCCCCAGGCCACACATGGAATGGTAAGGCTCTAAAGTACGCATTGCTGTCTGACACGATACATATGTATTTACTCCTCATCTATCTCTCGACTCTCCACTAAAATGTACACTCCAAGAGAGCAGGGAGGTTTTTTTTTTCTCTTGTTCACTGCTTACACTCCCAGGGCCTAGAACAGGGCCTTGCACATAGTAGGTGCTCAATTAAAAGTTGAACGAATGTATAAATGAACCTCCATTAGCCCTGTTGCAATTTGGCTCCCCATATAGGTTTTCATATGGCAAAAAATAAGGGCCACTTAAAGGAGAACTCCCATCTCTTTGGCAGTTCTAGTCTATATTTGAAATTAATATACTACCAATCTGGTTTATATACCAGTCTTTTATAAGTCTGCTTAGCATAAGTTGGTCCTCCTGATCCTGCTGAACTCTGAGGGCTCTGAGACCCACAAAGCTGAGCACAAGACTCTGGAATACTTCAGAGACCCCACTGGTAAGTGACACATGATGAGTCAGTTGGTCTTTCTCTCTGACTTCAACCACCCTTTCTGACTTCAGTTGGTACCTCATTAGCCAAGATCTGCTTCTCATCTGGCAGCACTTGGATCTGGAGTTCTTTAGTATAAAAAAACTTCTTTTCCATAGTTTTTATCAATCGGTGATTAATCACATTATTAACTTCTGAAAACAGCTCAGTAGATAATGTGCTTCTGTTGACATCAAATATTTAATTGCTACTGCTTTTAGTAATTTGGTATTTACAAGTGAGTTTGATGCCATTAACATTTTTTAAAGCTTAGGGTTTCCATGGAAAATAACCATATGCCTCTTTTGGCTATGCTATTCTATCCTGGTGAAGAAAAATATATAGTGTATCAGAACATGATACCCTAAATATATATTTCATTAGCAAGAGTTAATATTTACACGTGTCCTTCTTCTACTTGGCTTCATCATTTTGGTATCTATGTTCCTTCTCAGTGCAGTATGTAAAATCCTTTCACCTCTATTTAAATGGAAAGAGAATACATTTATCTTATGTACATTAGTAAATTCATTTAATGGTCAAAGAGATAGTAAAGTTAGGTCAGCTGAAATCATTCAAACCCAATGCGTTCATTGGCACAGTGATCTAAAACTGCAAAGTCATATACAGAAGTGAAGAGGCAAGAACAGCTATTTCATTTGCAAGAACTTGGGTAGGAAAAGGGTAATAAAGGGCAGCAACATGTTCTGAGCTTCCGCTGTGCATGAGGCACTGTGATAGGTTTCTTTGCTCAGGTGCTATTCTTATCCTCAATTTGCAGATGAGGAAACTGAGCCCCAGGGAGGTTAGGTGGTTTTATGCAAAGTAATCTCTCTGAAACACACAGTTTGTCAGTTCTAAATTGGAATGGAGGTGTGTGTGTGTTTGTGTGTGTGTGTGTGTGTGCGCGCGCGCGTGCACAGGGGAGGGTCTGGTCCAGAGCCCAGCCACTGGCGAGCAGTCAGCTCATGTCACTCTCCTGCCCAAACACTCCCGTGGCTCTCATTCCACTCGGGGTACGGCCGTTGTGGCTGTAGTAATTGTGGTCCCTCGCCTGCACCCTGACCTCATGGCTGCCCCTCTCGTCCATCAGTGACATCCTCGCTGGGTCTCAAACCTCCCCCTCTGCCTTGTCTCTTGGTAACCTCAGCTGGTCGCTCACAAATCTTCTTCTTAACCCCCCAACTATTTAAAATCAGGACCTTTATCTCTTTGACACCCCCCTGGCCTTCCCTGCTTCATTTTTCTCCATGGCACTTACGAGCATCTAACATTTTACTTACTTATTTTGGTTATTTGATCTGCCCACTCAGAAATAGAAGCTCTGGAGGGCAGGGGTTTTGTCTGCTCATTCACTGCTATATTTCCAGTGCCAGGAGAGTGCCAGGCACATAACAGGTTCTCAAAAATATTTGTCGAAAGACTGAATGAACACAAACCCCCTTCGCCAAAGGATCAGTCTATCGCTTTCTTAAAGTGACATTTTTTGCAATAATGTCTGACGACCAGGTAAGGTAAACCAATCCCCGCTCTGGTCAGCCTCAGTAGGGGGAGAATTTTCCCTGCTCCAGCAGCTGGATCACTGCTGTGAAGGGCGCCTCACTCCAGATCCTGCAGATGGTGCAGGTGAAAACCTCCATCAGAAACATGGCCGATTCTGTAGCAGTCGCTGCTGCCCATTACTCAGAGGTGATGGGGGGCGAGGGGGCATTGCATGCTCCATCGTAGGGCACTGCACCCTGGCCCTAGTGATTCAGAAGACACTAGAACGCACAGAACATTAACACTCTCCCTTCAGAGGGACATGGTGTTCGTTCAACACCACGATTCTCCATTGAAGGTGTTGATCTCAGGTTCACATTGCTGGCTGATTTCAAAACTATTAAGAGCAAATGAGATTTAAAACATCTCCGTTCCTCCTCTTCTTCATTGGTCTTAGCTTCCTCCTCATCAGATCCTGAGTATGGAGGCATTTCCCGGGGTCTGTCCTCCAGCTCTACACCATCCCAGACCCTCAAATTTTCTCTGGGAATTTATTTCTAACCCATATCTACAACATTCTCAAAACATATAGTGTTAACTTTAACCTCTCTCCTGAGACCTAGGCTTGAATTCCCACAACTTTCCTAAACTCAGACCTCAATATTCCAATAGCACCCCCATATTCCAACAACACCCCCTTGAAGTCCCAAAAGCACCCACTCAATATTCCATAACATATCCTTGATGTCCCAACAGCATCCCCTCGATGATCAAAGACAAATGAGATGTCGTATGCGCTTTCAGAGAGCTCAGGAGGGACAGAGAGTGAAAACAACTCATCTGCCACATGTGGTAAGGGCAGTGGAAGCGTCTAGAACTAAGGGAGACAGGGTCGGGGTGGCTTCAGAGGACCAGGGGGCGTGAAGAACGAACCCCCTGTGTGGCTGAAGCACAAGGCAGGAAGGAGAGAAAAAGAGGCTGGACGGCTGGAACAGGCAGTACGGCACCAGGTCGTGAAAGGACCTCAACTTTTGTTAAGTATCTGTGGTGAAGGGCGTGGAAGGCCCACTTAAGAAGTTCGAATTTTATTCTGTGGACAATGGGGAGCCACCAAATATTTCTTGAATGGAGTAGATGTGAGATCAGAATCGTGTATTATGATGACTCTCGTTACAGTATGGACAGTACGTGAATGGCGGAATGACAGAGGTTGAGTCATTTGGGAAGGACCCACAAAGTCCAAGAAGAGGCAACGATGAAATGGAGAGAAGGAAACACACGTGTGAGTTATTACCGCGAAAGCAACAACGAAGAGCCATGGGGGGGCAGCAGCTTTGCAGACAGGTATAGTCAAGCCTCTGATGATCCCCAGACTCTCATTTCCAAAACGCTCCATGCGTGTCCTAATCTGATTCAATCTCTCTCTCCTGCCCATGCTCTCCAACTTTCCACTGTTCCCCATCAACCACCATCGGCAAAGTCCCCACAGCCTCAACCTCTCCCCCTGATACTCCATTCACTTCTTGCTCTTAATAAAGCCAGCTCCCCTTTCCTGCCCCTTCCCAAAGTACCACAAGGCCTGGAAGTGAGGAGGTCCCGGGACTGACTGATTGGTCAGCATCGAGGATGGGTTGGGGACAGGAGAAGCGATGGAAACAATGAAATGGGTTTACATCTTCAGTGAATTATGGGGGACATCTGGGGATCTAGAGGTGACTGCAGCGAGGGGGAGGCAGCTTCAGAGGCTCTGGGATTTTGAGAGAGTAGAAGAAATGGTTTGGACAGAGCAGTGAAGCCTGAGGAGGACGGAAGCCCTGCCAATCTTACGGTATTTCTCTCATCAGTTTGCAGAGTCTCAGTGTGTACTGTCGCACCCTTGCTCAAACTCCCCATACACAACCTCAGCCTCAGCTGCCAACCTCACCTCATTCTGTCCCAAGAGAGCAGAAACAATCACAGAAAACGTCCTCAGGCGTCCATGACCGAAGGGACCCCCTGACTGGCGCCCACAGCCCCGGACTTTGCTTTCCCTCCCAGCGCACAGACTCCCTCACGGAGTCTGACCGCTTTCACCTGTGTCGCCTTGTCCACTTAAGGACTTCACTCCAAGACAGATCTTGTCTCTCCTCTTCACTCTATCTCCCTCTCCACTACAGTAACACATCAATAGTCAACCATACCCCATTATCTCCCATGTTCCTCTCCAGCAAGTGCACCCAATCTTCTCCCCTTTGCTGTCACTACACCCCCACCACCGTCCTCTCCTCAATGCCCCCTGGCCAAGCATCTCCACCACCTCTGCCGGGAAACCACTCCTGCCAAGGTCACCAACCATTGCCAATTTTACCAAATCCAGTTCCCCTCTGTCCTTATAGTATGTTGCCTCTCAAGAATAGAAGTTGACACCGTAGCTCACTTCCTTCCAGGACATTCCTTTCTTTGCTTATTTCTGGACCCTCCTCTCTTCCTGGGCTTCCTCCCATCTCCCTGGCTGCTCCTTTGCCGTGTCCTTTGCTGGCTCCAGCTCTTCCCTCCTGTGGATTCTCCAGCTATCCTCATGGCTAATCTGGCTCATCTCACCTGCTCCCTTAGCTCTCTTTGTCACCTGTGTTGATGACTCCGGGGTTCTAGCTCCTGAGCTCTTCGTGGCTATCTGACAGACATCTCAACCCTAACGTGGCCAAACCAAACTCTTAATTCCATCTCCCCACTCTCACTCCAACTCCAATAAACCTCTTTCTCTCCCATCTCTCAACAAATGATACCAGGAGCAGCACTCAAGCAAACACCTGGGAGTCATGCTTGATTCCTCTGACCCCTACCTCCTCCCACCACACACAGAATCCATTATCTTGCCCCTGAGCTCTGTCCCCGCCAAAGATCCCGAATCCATCCACTTCTCTGGTCTCTACCTCTAACACCTTTGCCTCTCTCCTGGGCCCCTGTCATGGTTTCCATTGCTGTCCTCTACCATTCATTCTCTAGCTGGAGAGGGAGAAAGAGCTGAGGATGGAACCCTGGGGAACTCACATAAAAAGGATGCAGCAAAACTGATGGAGCAAGTAGCTGACCTCACCAGACATGGGCATGGAGCCCACAGGGAGGGAAGGACAGAGGCACAGAAGAAGAGACTCTGGGTTAAAAACGTCATTTCAAAGCCGAGATTGCACAGGCTGGCCATCATTTCTAGGCAGAGTGTGTCTGTGAGAATGTGCAGGCCAAGAAGTGAATCTGCATCAACATGGAAGCCAGACTCACCCCGGATGAAGGCAAGAGATGAGCACGAGAGGAAAACCATGAGCTAAGAGTCAGGTTCTTTAGGAGTGTGGACACCAGCTAGGAAATCAATAGGGGATGATGACCTTCCATGCCCGGATGCTCAGCAGGCTGCCAAATCTAAAATGTCTACCATGTGGTCTCTCACCTTTGTCACCGACCCCCACCTTGCTTTCTTTCTAAGTGTTGTTTGGGTCCCCAACACCTGGGTCACCACAGAGCCTCCTCACTAGTCCTGCTCCTCTCATCCTGGGCACTGCTGACAGGTGAAGCTCCCTAAATACTGGGTGGTTCTAATGACGCTACTCCCCTGCACAGAAATCCTCAATAGCTCCCCACAACCCATCATATCATGCACGATCTCCTTCTCCTGTCATCCAAAGCCCCAGTCTCGCAAGCAGTACACCTTTCTGAGCTCATCAGCTCTTCCTCGTGTTTCTGCTCTCCAGGCAGCTCGGATCCCTTGTTTTTCAAGCACGTCTGGCACTTCTCACCTCCCTTCCTTTGCTCATGTTGCTCCCTCTTTCTGGAATACACACCCTTCCTCTCCTCCTGCTGAAATCTTAGCATGTAACACAGTTGAAAACACATGTTTGAGGTCAGATAGATCCAGATTCATATCCTGGCGACCCAAGTACCAGTTGTCTCTAAAGTTAGTTAACTTTCCTGAGCCTACATTTCCACATCTGGAATTTGGAGCTGTAGAAAGTTGCCCCAGGGAGAGGAGAAAATGAGAAAAGCTATGTAAGGCAGCAAGCTTAGCACCTGCCACAGAGGAGGCAACCATTGTTTTTCATACCCTTTCTCTGTCCATTCTTTCTGGGTGGCCCTTCAGAGCAGACCGTCCCTCCCCTGAGCCCGGATCACTCTGCCTCCTCACTGCACTTTCTCGCATTCTGCTCCTTTATATCTGCATTAACTCCTTCTCTGCTCCTTAAAGACAGTGACCAGGTCTTGCCCACTTCTGTATGTCCGCCAGCACGGAGCACAGTTCATGCAGGACTCCGTAAATGCTTAGCGAATCAAATTATCTTTAATTCCCCTGCAGACAATATAATCTCAGCCATGGTGATTTTTCTAGGAGAAAGCGTGGGTAGGATTTGAAGCAAAGCAATATCATTATCATCATCCTAATATCCAAAACATATCCCTTACCCAAAACCTATAGCTTCAAACAACACAGGAAATAGTTGACTGATTTAAGAAACTTCTAGAACACAAATATGTTTAGCTCCAGGTCCATTAACGTGAGTTTGGGGCATCACTTTAATTTGCAGGAAACATTTAATGGCGTTAAAAAAAATAATGAATGGAAAGACTATCCCCTTACGGTCAGCTTGCAGAAGGACAACATGATGCAGGGTCAAGGCCATCCTTTGGGAGTCAATGGTGCTCAGGATCTTGGCAGCTGCAGTCCCCAGCAAAGGCTTCCCGTTGTACAGGGTGTAGTAAGTCAGCTCCGCTGGGTCCTTGGGTCCTGGCACCCGCTGCATCTTTACCATCTTTCAGAAAAAGAGAGGCCATGTTTACGGGGCATCTTGCACCAACCCTGCAATCACCTGGGCGATCCGCAGGCTCTCTCCCAATTGCTGAAGCCTTCCGTGGCTAATAGGACCCACAACGTATATTTTAGACATCAACCTTTGTGTACCTCCCTATCACCAGCATCTCAAGAAGCCCTGCTATTGCTGGACGGGGGAGACAGGGAGGAGAAAAAGGATTTGAAAATAGGAACATCTGGAAAGAACAGCTTGAGACCGGAGAAGAAAATGCTAAAATGGTGATGTCTTCCAGCCTCCAGAGAACCCTGGCCTCATTTGGAAATAGGCCTGCACATTAATTCAGGGCATGTTAGGTTATTCTCAAACAAGATTTCTAATTTCAAACTCCTGCAATTGCCAAAGAGGAAAAAAAAAATGAACTTATATGTCTGTAATTCAAAAGATCTCTGATAAAAGCAGGACTTGGAGACTCAAAGTTCTTTTTCTAAAATAACCTTTGTTGCTTTTTCCTCCTGTACAAGTGATACATATTCACTACAGAAAATCTGAAAACACAGAAAAGCATCAAGAAATGAAATAAAATAAAAGCAATTTGTAATCCCTCCACCCCAAGCTAACTACATTATTTTGGAGCATTTGCCTCTATTCTTTGTTTTTTCCACACAAACCTTTTATTTATTATTTTACAAAATTATTTATCATATTCTCTATATAGAATCACACATTGCTATTTTTACTTGCATCCTTAGGTGACCTTAAATGTAACAAAAACATAAATGTTAACTTCTACACAGCATTCCAATGCACACCTCATAAACTTACTTAGCAAATCATTTTTTGTCAAACACTTAAATTGTTACTCATTTTTCAGTATTGTAGCTAATTGATCATCATTATAAATACATAAAACATAAATTTTTATATCTACATAATGTTCTATATGCATGCCTCATAAACTCAACTAACACTTCATTTTTGAATGGTTAGTTTGCTATCAAGTTTTCACTACTATAGTTAACAACTGATAAACATTATAGTATAGTATAGTATTTTCCAAAGTGTATATTACAGATTATGAGCTTCATAGGATATTAAAAGATATTACAGAAATGTTTATAGCAATATTGGTCACAACAGCAAAAAAAAAAAAAAAAAAAACAAAACCTGAAAATTCAAAAGTCACTGACAGTAGAATGGATTAATAAGTTATGGTAATAGTCACACAACGGAATACAGAGTAGTATAAATACTGAGGCTATTTGTATCAATATGGGTGAATACAAAAGCCTGATAATGAGCAAAAGGAACAAATCACAGAAAATAAAATTCAAACGCAGGCAAAACCAAATGATGTACTGTTTAGGGAAACACATGTGGATGGTAAAATCTACACAGAAAATACAGGTATGTCTTAAAACGAAATTCAGAAGCACACTCAGCTCTGATAGCTAGGAAGGGAGTATGTATAATCAGAGAAGACACATAAAAGGCTTCTGGGGTAAGGTAAGGGGAATGTTCTTATGCTTTGGGTTGTGGCTTCCTTTTATTAGTGTTCTTTGAAGCCTACCTGACTTTATACTCCTGTGTATGTCTGTGTATGTACCTTCACAAAGGAAGGTATCTGAATAGTCAACAAGCATATACAAAATGCTCAATGGGAAAATTAAAAGCAAAACCGCAAGACACTACTATCACCCAGCAGAATGATTGAAATAAGGGCTGACAACACCAAGTGTTGATGAGCATGAGGAGTAACTGGAACTCTACATCTGGTTGGTGGGAGTGTAAAAATGGTAAACTTTGGGAAAAGGTCTAGCGGTTTCTCACAGAGCTAACATACACCAACCCTAGGAACCAGCAATTCTACTCCTACACACTCAAGAGAAATGAAAATATACGGCCATAGAAAGACTTGTAGAAGATTATGCATAGCAGCTTTGTTTATAGTAGCTGAAAACTGGAAAAAGTCTGGGGGTCTCTCAACAGAAAAATGGGTAAACAAACTGTAGTATATTCAATATAAGGGGATATTACTGAGCAATAAAAAGGAATAAACTCCTGAATAACACAACATGATGATGAACCTAAAAACACTACATTGAGTCAAAAAAGCTTTATACAAAAGAGAATATACTTGTGTATATGAGGTTCTAGAATAGTCCAAACTGATCTATGGTATGGAAATGAACATGTTATCGAAACTAGATGGGGAGTTTATTGGTGTTTGCTATATAATTTTTTCACTTTTGTGTGAGTTTAAAAATGTTCATAATAAATTGTTGGAGAAATATAGGTATTACTAAATATAAGGTTCTTATTGGCACTTAAATTTACGAACCAGTACGCTGAACAAAATTAAGGAATTTCTTTACTGCAGGTCTTTTTAGAGTCTTTGATATGCCAATAGGCCTCAGGAATCTTCAAGAAGGGGCTACAGGATGAAGCCTTGCCCAAACTGATGTGGCCATAGAGCCCATTTGGCCCAGGGCACCTTATAGGACCATTTTTTTGGACACTCTCTGAGAAACACTGCTCTGTTCTCTTGTCTTTGTGTTCACCTCTATCTCCTCAAAATGAATTTCCAGGAGTAAGTTTGTGACTATCTAGGAGGTTCTTGTCTAAATTGCTCACTTATCCTCCACAGAGATCATACCCATTTACTGGGTTTGAAAGTGCCCATTTCACCGCATCCTCACCAACACTGGATAGTACCATTATAAATCTTTGGTAGGTGAAAATGATAACTTGTGGTGGTTAAAATTTGCATTATTTTGATGGCAAATGGAGTTAAACATTTAAAAAATGTTTACTGGTGGGGCGCCTGGGTGGCTCAGTTGTTAAGCATCTGCCTTTGGCTCAGGTCATGATCCCAGGGCCCTGGGATCGAGCCCCGCATCAGGCTCCCTGCTCAGCGGGAAGCCTCCTTCTCCCTCTCCCACTCCCCCTGCTTGTGTTCCCTCTCTTGCTGTGTCTCTCTCCGTCAAATAAATACCTAAAATCTTTAAAAAAATTTTTTTTACTGGTCCTATATATTTCTTCTTCAGACTCAATTTTTCAGATATGTTCACTAGAGAAATATCTTTACATTCTAGACATATACATTTCCATATTCATGAAAGTGGCTCATCTTTTAAAATTATCTGAGCCCAGCAAAAAGCCCTCTGCATGGAAGGAAGATGTAAGCTATGTAGAGTGAGTTTTATTTGGGAAATTCGGGCATGTCATTCCTGTCCCTTCTGGGAGAGGAGGTAAGGACACTGTTAGTACAACCAGGTAGAAGGTGAATGGGCATTCAAATATTTAATAACGTCACTCAATTTCAATTTCGTAGCGAATACTTCTTACCAAGATTTCTCCAAGGGTGATGTGAGAAAGTGATCTGCAGACTCTATAAAGTAGGGATTTGCAGAAATAAATCCCTACTTACTTCACTCAGACTTTCCAGGCAGCTATGGAGCCAAGCACATCGAGTACTCAGAAGAAATGAGGAAAGACTACCTTGCTGGGCTCTTTTCAATATGTAAAATGTGTTAGGTTTCTTAGGTTTACAAATAACAGGATTACAGGGGTCGTTCTTTCTCCCCCGTCAGCTAGGCAAATCCCAATTCACTGTCTGAGTCTCAATGGTTTCCTGTTATTTGGAGAAGCGTGACTTATAGGGCTCACATGGATCCCACAAACGGTAAATCATAACCTGGCACGAGAACTTAACTGTGCCTTTACCTGGTCCCAGGCTGTCACAGACCACAAAGACTCAGACGGAAAGCAACATCTAATAGGACAAGGGGCCCTATTCACCAACTGTGAATGGAGGACCTCGAGTCTCCCTCAGGGGCATGATGCTTGACTCAGGCAGGGAAGTGGGTTCCACAAAACGGGTTGTTTGTACTTTCAAAATTGCCTGGGGGCACGATCTGCAAACAGATTAGAGTAATGCCTGTAATTTCCTTTAAAACGTTTCCTCTTAGACACTGGGATATCAAGCATATGTGTTTGGGTTAAGTTACACCCTCCATGTGGCAATTGCCAATCACGAGTTCACACCCCAGGGGCAGTCTGCTAGATTCCAATTAGGAAGACCACACTCTGGAGGCAGTCACCAGCCCTGCTTCTGTACTTTGACACCTTGCTCCACAGAGCTTTGCTAATTAGCATAACAAACATTAGCCATCCGTTCTCAGCAAAATTAGTGGTATTCAAGATATGTGGATTGGCTAGAATGTGCTAGAGATGCTCTCACTCTGACTTGAACGTAATAAAGAATCTAAAGAAGCTTGGCGCCTCTACCTTGGGATGGCCAAGGTGTCTGTTGGGTTCCCTCTGAAGCCGACTCTGAGTTGAGTGCTTGTAGCTTAGCTGGGAGGCAGGAGGAACTGACTGACAGGAGGTGACCCAGGGGGGTGGGAGGGAACTAGCGAGAGGTACATTATTAATCTAGTTACCACAGCGGGCAGCTAAAGCTTAACTCCATGGGAAAGCTCTGGCAATTACTGAACACATACGTTTTCGGAATTCCCCTAGCCAGGAAGCAAGAGGGCTGTCGTAGGCACACCCCCCGCCGCTCATGAACTCGCACGCACTTGTGGCCAGCCGCGGTATGGACCAAGCGGGTTCTGGCATCTCAAGAGCTGCCCCTCGATAAAGGTGCATTTGACAGAAATGGGAAGGGGGTTTGGACAGTAGAGTCTGCTACAGCTCCCTCACCTCAGTCCCTGTGCTGTCCCCTGTCCGTTACGAATGTGGGGGGCTCTTTTTTGTTGAAACTGGCTAATTAAGGATCACAGAATCCTGACCCTGGAAAATTGATTGGTGCGCCTGCCAACCACAGGAGTGGTGGTGACAGGCCCGAAGGCTCCGAGCTCTGGGACTCCCTCCAGTCTCCAGAACAGGTTGGGGAGTAGTCAGTCTGTGCTTGCTTACTAATAACTTCTGTTTAATAAATACGTGCCTGTGTACAGAATTTGTTCTGAAACCTTAGAGTCTAGGAGGGAGACAGGGGAGTAGCTCACTCTCACCCTCCTCCCTGATTCTGATGGTCATGACCATGAGCCCCCCAAACCTACGAGCCGTGTTGATGAAATGCTCCTCTGCACACAGCATGGTTTACTTAGTCTCAGGACACTCCCACACATTTATCAGAAGACCCCAGTGGCTTGGCACATACCCACCTGCACAGTGTAGCTTCCCAGGGTGGTGGCCCGTTTAAACCGCCGGCCTTGTTGCTGGGACATCATGAAGAGCTGGGCCAAGCGCTGCTCCATGACCCGGGCGAAGCTCTGGTTGTGCAGGCCCACCAGTGAATTGTCCACGCCCTGGAGCACTGTGGAGGCAGAAGGCAGAGGGGCTGCTCAGAGGACAGACTCCCCACTGACTCAGAAACCACAACCACCCCCGGCCCTGCACTGGCCACGAAAGGCCATGGGCCCTATCTCATGTTAGGCCTTGGCCATCCTTACCTCATTTCACCCTCACAACAGCCCCAGGAGTTAGGAATCACTGTCCTCATGTTATAGATGCTGAAAGGTTATGTGACTTGTCAAAAGTCATGCAGCTAGTAACCGGCAGAGTGAGGGTTCGAGCCCATGCTTATGGAACTCCAAAACCTGGGTTCCCTCCTCCATAAGCTGTGACATGCCTAATGCTGCTGTATTTAATCCAAACCTTATTTAAGATGTTATGTGTTGTTAGAGACCATATGGGAATACAGCATGGCTGCAGGTATGACTAATTGGAAGCTTCACTGGTTCCCACTTGGAAGGCCTGCCTCAGGGCTACCCTTACCGCATTTTTCCTTCTCAGCAGCTTTGCTAAGGCATCAGAGCTCCATCCTGCAGCTCAGCTCCTCACACCTAGACAAGCCATCCTGTTCAGTGTCCTCATCTCTCCCTCCTCTATGGGGTCCCTTGAGGACACACCCCTACAGTGGCCCACAGCCTCTCAGGTACTCCCCCCCTCGAGAGCAGGACAGTGTAATAGAAAGAGTGGGCAGGCACTTGCCAGTTGTGGGACTTCAGGCAAACCATTGGCCCTTTCTGAGTATGAGGCCTTGTCTGTAGAAAGGGAGTAGGAAAGTCTATTCCTCATGGACTGGAAGGTTGAAATGAGACAAGACGTACAAAGCAACTTAGCACAATGTCTGGTGCAAAGAAGGTAAATGAAACTCCTCTTTCCAGCCTTCCTCCACGGCTGGGTTTCTTCTATACCCTGGGCGATCTGGGTAGGTAAGGCATTAATGATGGACCTCCAGGCAATGGCTAGTGCATGCATGGAGGAGACCGCCATGAACACCAGGATCATCCTAGGACTGAAAAGGTCACTTACTACAGGAGCGACTTCCTTTTGCCATCAAAAACCCAAAGCCCAGTCCTTCCTCCAAGTCCCTTGGGAAATACACATCACCCCAAACACACAAACACTGCCTCCAAACACAGTCAGCCCTGAAGTCAAAAAGGCTAAAAAAAATTCTCATTTTTTTTAAAGAGACAAAAACTTACAATGGGCTGGGGATGTAATACAAGATTTATCATTCAACAGAATTTGTTCTACCACAGTCCAGCCAAGGGCCATTAGTACCACCCATCTACAGGGATATGGAAATAGCCCGAATAGAAAGCGCGTGTTGTTACTGTGAGCGCGTTCTGAACAGAATGAGCTGCGTGATGCAGAGGATGACGCTGAAACCGGTCAAGAGAAAAATAAAACCCACAGTTGAGTCTCCGAAATTACTTCTTTGAAGCCACAATTGCCAAATAATCCTCATGGAGGGCATAAAGCGGCTCTCTTTCTAGGGCCCTTGTGAGGGACTCCCAGCTCATCTGTCAGCAGAATTCCTGCAAACGGAGATAAGACACGTCGGCACTGTTCCCTCCGTGGCAGGTCCCGGAGAGGCCCCTCAGAATCCCCCTTGACACAGCTGTCAGGCTGAGGGAGGGCCAGCCTACCTCTTGGCCCCAGAGAGGGGAGCCTCTCGTTCTTGCTGCTTCAAACATGCGCCTCTAGTAAAATTACACAACCAATGCTGAAAGATTACTTCTTTTTTTTTTCTTTTTAAAATCGGCTCGAGCCACGCCCAGTATGGAGCCCAGTATGGAGCCCAGCGCAGGGCTTGAACTCACAACCCTGAGATGAAGACCTGAGCTGAGATCAAGAGTCAGACGCTTCACCAGCTGAGCCACCTAGCACCCCTGAAAGATTACTTCTAAGTTGGCCTCTCCTGACTACCAGACAAGAGTCAGAGTGGGGACACAGGACAGTCAAAGCACACCATCATGGGTTACTCTAAGGGGATCCCAGCGATGACTCAAGGGCCAACATCAAAGAAAGGGACAGTCAAAGCCCCCAGGTGACGAAAAAGTTCCAGAAATAGGGAGTGGTGATGGCTACACAGCACTGTGAATGTACTTAATACCACTGAATTGTACACTTATACATGGTTAGAATAGTAAATTGCATGCTATATGTATTTTACCCCAACTCTTTAAATTGAGGGAAAACAAAAACAAAACCAAACCACAGCCTTCAGGGAGGTGCAGGAGGCCGTGGGACCCTCCCACAGGGCTACACGGAACCTACAGCTGGACAGTTCCCACATGCCTCGCCGCTCTGTCTGCAAAGAGAATGCGCACCCCCCCCCCGAGGCAGCTGGAGAAGAACTGGGGGTTGGAGCCAGGGGTCTGGCTTCACACCCTGGCTCCCCCTTACTGAGTACACTTGGGCAAGTCACTTAGTTCCTCTGGACCCTGGTTCGTCATCTGAAAATACAGGAATTATAATCTACTCCTGATTGTGTCATGGTGGAGAACAGGTACTTTTATAAAAAAAAAAAAAAATGCTTTGAGCAGAGTGGTACCAGGCACCTGAGAGGTGCCCGTAAACGCCAGCTGACGTTGTTGCTCAAATGTGCCCCTTCCTGGTTAGACACATTTTTCCCAGAGGAAGAAATAACTGTGTTCCAGGATGGTGGCTCGTTTCCTTTCCCCTGAGAAGCGCAGCGGGCCCCAGGCTCCCAGCCCTCTCTGCCCACCTAGAAGGGACTAGAAAGGGGCATGCGTCTCTCAGAGCAGCCCCGAAGCAGGAGGGGAGCTTGGACGCTGGCCCACGTGCTCAGGAGGACAGGAGCCCTTCAGCCTGTCGGCCAGGGCCCTGGCCACCACTGACTCGCTTACAGGAGGCGGGCAAGTCCCCCGCTGGGTTCACAGGAGCTCTCCAGAAGATTCAGCGGCTGTTACATCACTGGTCTCTTAGTCCTTCTTTATTTACAACTGCACCGGACTCTAAAATTCCAACAATCAGCTCGGCCTGGTTCAGCTTCCTGTATTGAAGCTGAATTGTTCCATGTGTGGTTGAATCCCACACCTTCAGAGCCTGTCTTCTCAGCAACTATCTTCTCCTTCCACAGGCGACAGCATGACACCCAGAGGGCCTGCGTGACCCACTCAAGGACACACGAGGTTAGCAGCAGCTGGGCTGAGACCAGAAGAAGTCCTGAGACTGCTGGGTCTGGGATATTCTGATGCTGGTGATGCAATAAAGACAAGTGGATAAACCTAAGATGAACTCCGACCTCTGTGAGGCAGCAATACTGAGTCTGTGAGTCTCTATCCTGCCCCATCTATACAACCCTGACCACGGGATCCATGGACAGCAGAGGGGGCTGCACGAAGCCCCCTAACTAAGCCACTGGTTTTTCCACCAGTGAGGCACCCACGCTCAGGGAGGAGAGAAGTGTATAGAGTGCAAAAACATATTTTTTAAAAGATTTTATTTATTTGTTTGAGAGAGAGAGAGCACGTGTGTGCATGAGCGGGGGAAGGGCAGAGGGAGAGGCAGAGAATCCCAACCAGACTCCATGCTGAGCATGGAGCCGGATGCGGGGTTTGATCTTATGACCCTGAGATCATGACCTGAGCCAAAACCAAGAGTCGGATGCTTACCTGACTGAGCCACCCAGGCGCCTCAAAACAAATTTAATGTAAGTTTAGTGGGAAAGCAGGTGGAAATATGTCAGGGTTTCATAATACCAACAACAGAAAGGAAAGTTGCTCCCCATCGGCTGAGCGGTTGGCAATGACCAGAAGACAGAGTGCACATGTCGGATATTTGGGAGTGAAGGGTAGAGGGGTTTCAAGGAGCTGTGCCTCTGAGCCAGATGAACAAAGCTATCTTCATCTCAGGTTCCAATCTCCTACCCCTTCTGTAAATGATGGCCAAAGGCTGGTGGTGGCTGCACATGAGTGTAGAAAGTGGGTCCCGAGCCAAAGGGAAGGAAGGAGAGTCATGCTGAAGACTGGTTCTCGCCCCTTCCACTGGCACTGATGCAACTAGCCCCAAACCCAGTGACAGAGGCCACTGTTTACTCTGATTACCAGCAGCAGTAACAGCAACAACATAAGCAAATGAGGATCCATCAGCGGGTGGGCAGTGGGTGATGTCTCAGCATGATTTTGTGAAGGTTATGCCACTAAAACAGAGTCAGGGCAAGACCCAGGTACACGGGGAGGTTGTCAAGGACAGCCTGTGTTTAAGGGCAGATGTGTTACCATTTAATGTAAACCTTACAGTTAATAGGAGAGACATCTGCAGGTTAAAAAGCAGCATCCCTGGTAGAGGAAACGTGATTCTGGAAGTGTTACATAACCTGCTGGTTCAAAAATGCATCTCCCTCTTGGGCATAAACTCTGGGTTGTTTTTTGTTTTTTTTTAAGAGAGAGAGCACCAGGGCGGTTGGTGGGGTGAGAAGCAGAGGCAGAGGGAGAGAGAGAATCTCAAGCAGACTCCATCCCAGCCCAGAACTCGATGCAGGACTTGATCTCACAACCCTGAGATCATGACCTGAGCCGAAACCAAGAGCTGGATGCTTAACTGTTCAAGCCACCCAGGCGCCCCCTTTTCCTTTTAAAATTTCTTTAGTTTGCCTTCTTAGCAGGTAAAATAATCTCTGCATAATCATGGCTCTGTGGGGGAGAACGAAATGTGATTTTTCTGCCATTTCAGAGGTTTTGAGCAGGCGTCCTTGAGCAGGGGGTGTGTGCTCCTTTGTTAGGACTCTAGGCAGCAGCCTAGCCTAGCTACTGCTTGTTCGGGACAGCATGTGAGAGAGGGGAGGGGGCAGGGATGAAGGGAGGGAGGTTGCAGACAGGCTTGCCCAGGCATATCCTCCATGACTTGTAGGCTCTTCCTCCCTCTTTGTTATAGGCTGAATTGCGTCCTCCCAAAATTCGTATGTTCAAGTCCTAACCCCCCCACCTTGTACCCCAGAAGGGGACTGTATTTGGAGATGAAGCCCTAAAAGAGGTGATTAGGGCAAAATAAGGTCATAACGGGTGGGCCCTAATCCAACATGCTGGGTGTCCTTATAAGAAGAGGAGGTTAGGGGACACACACACACACACACACACACACACACACAGAGGGAAGACGTAAAGGAAAGATGAACATCTACAAGCCAAGGAGAGAGGTCTCAAGAAATCAACCTTGCTGACACTTTGATGTTAGACTTCCAGCCTCTAGAATTATGAGAAAATAAACTCCTGCTGCTGAAGCCCCAAAAGTCTGTGGTACTTTGTTATGGCAGCCCCACCAAGCTAACACCCTCCCCTGCCCCCCTCCACAGACAGCTGGGCTGGTCACTTCTCCCACAAACATCTGTCTTCTCTCTTTGCTCACAACCCTTGTTTCTGTAAGATTTCCAGAGCAACTGTCTGGCTTTGGAAAAACACAAACAAGAACTTTCTTTTGCTGCTTCATAAAGCTCAGCTGGGAAATGTCAAGGAAAAAAAGAAAATGTCACCCAAACACCCTTCTACTTCCATCCACCCTCACTGTCAGGACACGCCTGGGCTCCACCAGGATTACTGTAGGTGTGGGGCGTGTGCCAGGGGAGAGAGAAAAGTGCATGCCCAGCATTCTTCTGCCTTTCACTGGGGTTTTGTAGGGCAGTGCGGAAAGGCTTACCATCTTTAAATAAACAACCATTCCCATGGACATCCACAGGTTACCGCCATACCTTCTGATTGGTCTACGGTTTGCAAAGAGGAGGCCAGTGGACGTTACAGGTTGCTGTTTTGAATGGTTATCTAAGATTCACCTTCAGTGATATCTTTTCTTAGCTTACTTTACCCACTTCTGGTCCTATGGAAGTAACTCCCTGACTTATAAGACAGGACCAAGGAAAAGATGCTGATCTTATCACTGAATGGCATGCAGTTTTAATTATTATAATTATAAACATTTTTTAGTTTTTGGGTCTTCTTCTGACACGCAGTTTTAAAAGAACAAACCAACCTGATAGGGGGAAAGGAGTAAAGTAAGAGATTACCTGTAATTACCCAATAGTCTCTGGTTGTTTCTGATATATCAAGGTTGGGATATTCCAGCGCTAAAACAAATAAGAAACACACCAAATTAACTTTCACAGGTTTTATATGCAAATATTATTAAGGAAAATGGACACATAGGTGACAAAATATCAAACATCTAAATTCGGCTTTAACATTCTCGGGGAACTCCAGGACATACAGGCCAAAACTATCTAGCTGTTCTGAAAAGTAAAATACTCAGGAAAGGGCTAACTTTCAGACGAAGCATTTTCTAGGGTTTGTGAATTTCTGCTCTTTCTATTTTTTTCCATCAAAAGCTTCTTAAATGGAACGTCTTCATCCTCAAGACTCACAGCTAGAACATGTCTTAACTCCAGCTTTCTTTGTGAAAATTACCCAACCATCACTAATGTTTTTAGGAATGATCATCTCTTGAATGGATTTTTCAAGGACTAAGTGTATTATTAGCCAAATGTTTGTGACAAACAGTCCCATATGTTTGCAGGTATAGTGACCATAAGGGTTAATTCATGGAAAGGGTTTAGTGCAGTGCCTGGCATATAGTAAGTGCTCAATAAATCTTAGTTGTAATTATTAGACTATCAAGAGGAGGGATGCCTGGGTGGCTCACTGGGTTAAGCAGCTGCCTTCGGCTCAGGTCATGATCCTGGGGTCCTGGGATCGAGCCCCACATCCGGCTCCCTGCTCAGCGGAGAGCCTGCTTCTCCCTCTCCCTCTGCCTGCCACTCTGCCTACTTGTGCTCTCTCTCTAACTGTCAAATAAATAAATAAAATCTTTTAAAAAAAAGAATATCAAGAGGAAAGAAAATAAATTCTTCACATGCTGTCATGTGATACAATGAATGCCATCGTTCATGAGATCATCTTTTCCATAAAATCCAGAGTCATCTTTCCTTACTACATGGCAAGTCACAAAAGCCTGCCATTAAACATTCAAAAAAAATTTCTTAGTAGCTACTGTGTGCTAGGTACATCCACACACATCATTTTATTTATTTACAGTATCAAATGTAACCACAGAAGGAAATAGAAGCAATAGTGCTAATATGTGTTAAAAAAAAAAACAAAAAAACCTTGACCAGTGACCTTGAGAAATGTATTTTTTTTTAAAGATTTTATTTATTTTTTGACACAAAGAGAGACACAGCGAGAGAGGGAACACAAGCAGGGGGAGTGGGAGAGGGAGAAGCAGGCTTTCCGGCGAGTAGGGAGCCCGATGCTGGGGCTCGATCCCAGGACCCTGGGATCACGACCTGAGCCGAAGGCAGACGCTTAACGACTGAGCCACCCAGGCGCCCCGAGAAATGTATTAACAATTAAATTTAACAACACAAATCTTGACTTCCTTTGGCTACCAAGTAAGCGTTTGGGTACAAAATGTAGGCTGCATTGTCTTCCGAGTCTATGCCTGCTGCATGGTAATGAGGATTATGTAACTGAAGCATCAGAGGGAGGCAGGCTACGGGACTGACTATGGGGACTTCATCCAGTGAAGCCACGATGCTGATTGCAAATGAGTTGCATTATGATGTCTACAGCCAGGGCAAGGACCGAAGGCTGGGCAACATCTGCTGATGGCAGAAGTGGGGGAAACCATCACAGCCCAGATTGCCACAAGGACAGACACCCTACGGGGCAGTTACTATAAGTTCAAAGGCAGACTGCTTGGTTTCAAACCCCAGGTTCCATGTCTCATTACTTATGTGCGAGTGAGCATCTTGTGAACCTCTTGGAACTTCAGTTTTCTCCTTTGCGAAGTGGGGCTCATTTTGTACTACCTTATAGGGTGCTTTGTGAGGATTCAGTGACGTAAGATACATGAAGGGTAAAGGCGCCTAGCGAGTGCTTACTTCCAATGTGCAATAAACTTGTCATCAATTCAATCCCGGTTTATCACCAATTCCAGTTATTTTATGATAAAAGAGTGGTATGTGCACAGCACAATAAGTGTTTGTTAAATGGAGAAAGGACCCCAGGGGGTAGTGCGGGAGAGGCAGCGTCCCCGTGGGGCGTGGACATACTTACGTTCGGCAATAGTGAGTGGCGGGTAGGTGAGGTAGAACCCAACCAGCTCAGCCGAGAGCTGGCGGAGGAGGCTGCTGGCGACCGTGCCGTTGAGGAAGGAACTCCGATTGCCCACCACGTACACCAAGGTGACTGTCTGGGAGGCATTGGATGTGCTCACAATCTGAATCGACACAGGAGGAAAGGGGAGGGAGACATGCCACATAAGATGAGGGTCTGTTTCATGGAGGCCGTGGGAGAAGTTTAAGCAGAAGTTGAGGGGAGAAATGAAAGGGAGGTGAAAAAGAGCAAGGAAAAGACAAGAATAACAACACTCGTCATTTATGGATTGTTCACTGCGTGCCAGTTATCGTGCTCAGGGCGCATTGTCTCATTCAATCCTCACCACAGCCCTGTGAGGTGTATCCAGTTAGGACTCCATTTTACAGAGGAGGAAACTGAGGCCCAGAATGATCAAGAGACTTGCCCATGATCACACAGATAATAAGTGACGTAGCCAGGATTCGAACCCAGGCAGTCTGGCTTCAGGTTTCTAACAGGTGTTTCTTTTCCAGGGACTAAATAGCCTCAGGTTACTTTTATGGTTCTGAAAATACAAAACAGAGCATAGAAATGTTACATCTATGAGGGCTCAACTGCTCAGAGAAAGCCTGAGTTAAATTCTGGGGGAATCTTTTAGTTCCTACCCAGCTGATCACCACACTTAGGGAACAGACAGAGTGATTAAACCTGATTCCAAAAGGAATTCAGAAATATAAAATAGCCTCTTCAGAGAGTGATTACATTTCCTGTGACCTATTAAATTCGATATGGAATATGTAAATATTACTATGAGATGGTGTGGTGTTCTCAAATTTTGTCGAAGTCAATTTCTTAGTCACTGGAAAATGCGGTTTTCTGGGTCAATATATAGACAAAAATAGCCCATGGATGAGATTTGAAAAACAGATGCAGTAGGAAGTCATTCGATTGGGTGAGACAGTGTGGGCCTCTGTCCTGGCGTCTGCACCTCCCCCTTCCAGATTCACCTGCCACCCACCCACGCTCATTTGGTTCCGCACCCCCAGAGGCAGCCCCCTGACCACCTCACCAGGCTCCTTTCCCTCCAACTTCAGCTAAAAGGATCTTGGGAGGATGTGGGAGAGTGGGAGGAGAGGGAGGTCCAAGAATTGGTGTGTGTGTGGGAGCGACCTCTGGCTTCCCATAACTGCTCCGTCCCCTGGCCCTAGCAGGCCCCAAGACTTACAGCCTCGGGTACTGTACTCGCCCTGTGGTTTCCCTAGAGCCTGCCCACACTGCTGGAAAGGGCCCCTTTTATTAGACTTTCTCCAAATTACTTTCATCTGAGTGTGCCCTCTCTTCCTATAGGGAGCTGACTGAAATCCTGTTTTTCCCAGACCTTTACGTGTTCAGACATAAATATCCCTGCAACTTTCCTTTGAAATGTTATTTTTAAGAAGATTGTCAAGAATAGCTCCTTCACATTATTTCCCACTTTTCCCCATAAGTGGAAGTTGCTATTTAATTCTCTACCACAGAGCCTATAGTCTCATGATTTATGATACACCGAGTCAACTCTTCTAGTCAACTCTTGCTCTCCTCTCTGAAAGTATTTTAGGAATGTGGTTGAGCCACAGGTATTCATGCCTCTTTCCCAGGGTACCAAAAAGAAAGGTGCTTCTTTCTGAACAATCCAAAAGACCTCTCCGTACTGCCACCTAAAAAAAAATAATAACTAAAATAACTTTTCAACCATTATCTCTAGCGTGAACATTCTATTTTTTGCTTTTCAACAAAATGAAATCTCACTGGTTCCCAAAGAAGCCTACAGAACTTGCAGTATGGATACCTCTACACATACTACATTTGATCAGGTAAATTGTTAACTTTAAAAAAAATTGTAGCAAAATACACATACATTTCATCCCGATAACCATTTTAAGTGTACAGCTCATTGGCATTAAGCATATTCACAGTACTGTACCACCATCACCACCATCAATTTCCAGAACTTTTTCATCTTCGCAAACTGAAACTCTGTACCTATTAAGCAACTCTCCATTTCTTCCTCTCCCCAGCCCCTGGAAGCCACCATTCTACTGTGTGTCTCTATTAATTTGACAAAATTAAACACCTTTTATAAGTGGAATCCTGTAGTATTTGTCCCTTTGTGACTGGCTTATTTCACTCTGCATAATGTCCCCCAGGTTCGTCCATGTTGTAGCATAGGTCACCATTTCCTTCCTTCTTAAGGATGAAGAACAGTCCATTGCATGTATATACCACATTTCTTATCCATTCATCTGTGGATGGACACTGGGTTTGCTTCCACCTTTTGGCTAGTGTGAATGATGCCGCTATGAACATGGGTGTACAAATATCTGTTCAAGTCCCTGCTTTTGATTCTTTTGGGTATATACCCAGAAGCAGAATTGCTAGATGTTTAATTTTTTAAGGAACCACTATACTGTTTTCCACAGAGCTACATCATTTGAGCTCACCAGCAGTGTAGAAGGTTCCAGTTTGTCCACATTCTTACCAACACTTGTTATTCTCTCTTTTTTTATAATAGCCATCCTAATAGATGCGAAATGGTTTCTCGTGGTTTTGATTTGCATTTCATGATGAGTCATATAGAGCATCTTTTTCATGTGCTTATTGATCATCTATAGATCTTTGGAGAAATGTCTATTCAAGCTCTTTGCTCATTTCTTTATGGGGTTGTTATTATGTTTTTAAGTTGTACGGGTCCTTTACATATTCTAGATATTAACCCCCTATCCAATATATGATCGTCAAATATTTTCTCCTGTTCTGTGGGTTGCCTTTTGATTATCAATTGTGTCCTTTGATCCATAGAAGTGTTTAATTTTGGTGAAGTCCAATTTATCTACGTCTTCTTTTGTTGCCTATACTTTTGGTGTTATATCCAGGAAATCATAGCCAAATTCAATACCATGAAATTTTCTCCTCTATTTTCTTCTAAGAGTCTTATAGTTCTGGCTCTCACGTTTAGGTCTTTGATCCACTTTGAAGTTAATTTTTGTATATGGTGTTAGATAAGGGTCCAATTTCATTCTTTTGTTTGTGGATGTCCAGTTTTCCAATACCATTGGTTGAAAAGACTGTCTTTTCCCCCATTGAGTGGTCTTGGCACCCTTGTCAAAATTCATTTGACCATATATGCAAAGATTTACTGTTGCATTCTCTCTTCTGTTTCATTCGTCTATGTGTCTGTCTTTATGCCAGTACCACATGGTTCTGATTATTGTAGCTCTGTAGTAAGTTTTGAAATCAGAAAGCATGAAACCTCCAGCTATGCTTTTCTTTTTCAAGATTGTTTTGGCTATTCATGGTTCCTTGAGATTCCATATGAATTCTAGGATGCATTTTTCTATCTCTGCAAAAAAATATCACTGAGATTTTGATAGGGATTGCACAGAATCTGTAGATCGCTCTTGGCAGTGCTGACATCTTAACAAAATCAAGTCTTCCCATTCATGAGCACAGATTATCTTTTTTTTTTTTTTGGTCTTCTTTAGTATTCTCATTTTTTTTTTATAGCTAAGAAAAGTGTGACCAATCTTGGTGGCTACTTAACACTAGCTTCATCAATAAGACGTTCACAGGCCTGAGACCCAGGTCATTTCAGTGTTCCCTGAAAGTCATGTCCTGTCCCCAGTAGAAGCAGCCCCTACAGGGGGCACTTTCCCACCACTCCTTTACTCTTAGTTTCCTGTGGCTTCTGACATTCTCTTACTTCCCACTCACTCATGCCATAATTCATTTAGCTAATTAGACCTAAAAAAGGCTGGCAGAATGGAAGGCTATTGTTTTGCCTACCAAACATCCATTTCTCTTTCTTCTACGAAGGAGATTTCCTCGGGGAAACACCTCTTCTCTCCAACTGGGTTCATGGGCTTTGTTTGGGTGGGGCTTCCCTAAGTTCTAGGAGTGGGGATAGTCAGGCCAGTTGATTGGGACATTATATCTCCTTGGCCACAGTTACTGCTCCAGAAATGGGCACATAGTCCAAGTGGGTCCAATGAGAGTTAATCCCAGGATTTTTACTGGAAGGCCACCAAAAAAGGCACTTTGGTTCCGTAAGACTATGAGCAATAAGGATGAGACAAACCTGAAGGTGCCACGGGCCACCATCCCTGGGCCTGAAGATGATACCAGCCCAGGGCAAGACCAAGAGACAAAGAGAGAACTTCTCGAAGAAATCATATAAGCACCTGAACCAAACTGGGCCTGAAGGAAATATGCTGTGAAAACCTTTCAGTTATAGGAGCCAATTACTTTTTCTTTGCTTAAGTCTTGCACTTGGATTCTGTCATTCACAACCAAAAAGGTCCTAATTGAGTCTACTGCAATCTAGCCCCTAATACCAATGCTATACAAGTTTAACAAAAAGTTGCTTTTTCATTGACTCTCCGAACAAATTAAATATTTATGTGGTCCAGAAAGAATCCAAGGTGCCCCCCAAATTATACTTAATACATTAAATGGAAAGTTATTAATTACAAAACCAGGTCCTGCAACAAGCCCAGGGGGATGGTTAGTGTGTAGCTACATATATGCATGATATAGGGACCTAGAGGGTTCCAAAATCCAGGCAACAAATGGGTTCTGGGCTTCCTGTCAGCCATGGCAAAAAGCAAAACAGGGTTAATGAAACAATTCGCCCAATTATTCATTCATTTCAAGAGCTGCTGAAACGTTCAAGAGCATCTAAAATCTATTTAGATGCAATTTTCAAATTGTTATAGTCTTTTCCAAGGAAACTTTGTTACTTACTTTACAAAGTTTCATCTCATGGCCCACGACTATCATGTAACACAAAGAGTCTCCTTAAGGCCAAAGGCAGCTTATTTATCTTGGTGTCTCTCCCACTGCCTAATAAACAGCAGGTGCTCAATGGGCCTGTGCTTCCTGAATACAATCAGAGTATGCTCTGCCGCCAAGCCCTAACTAGAATCATGCACCTGTGAGGATCATAAATCTAATCAGAAAGAAAAAGATCTCCCACAAGGGAGCTGAGTCATACTTCTTACATAAATCTTATGTTTGTGACACATTTTTAGATCTTAATCTAATATGAACCGAATCATAATGAGATACTTCCATATAGACTTTGGATAAATCTAGAAAAGGAAAGCTGCCCGTTCAAATTAAATTGTATGCTTTCTACATCATATTGGCTTTGCTGATAATTCACTTACGCTAAATGTCAATTTCAAAACCACTGGGTTTAATTGCAAAGGATTTAGTTCAGTAAAAACAGAGACATTGGGTTGTACAGTTAATCAGAGAAATTTGGATGAATATCATTAAAAAGCATCTGTCTTGGGGCGCCTGGGTGGCTCAGTCAATTGAGTGTTGGACTCTTGATCTCAGCTCAGGTGTTGATCTCAGGGTCACTTTTTAAGCCCTACACTGGGCTCCATGCTGGGTGTGGAGCTTACTTAAAAAAGCATCTGTCTTTAGTGGGATGTTAGTTATATAATTGCAAAAAAGTGGGTCTGAGAAAAGCTTTTGATGGCATGTCTACTGTAAGTCCAGGAAACTGAAATATAGTATACCAGGAGTAGGATTTTCCCAGGAAAAATTCATGTGTTTGCCAAAAGTTCCATAGTATAGCATAGTGTATAAGATTATGGGCTTTGACTCAAGTCCTTGTTTCCTTCTTTACCAACCGTGCGACTTTCTGGAAGTTTCTTAGACTCTCAGTTCCGTCTTTGAAATGGTGATGATAATACTTCAGAAGGATGTCTTGAGTATTATGTAGCAAAATATTTCTAAAACACCTCGCACAGTCCTGGCATATAGTGAGCCCCAAATATAAAATGTGTGTATGTGTGTGTGTGTGTATGTGTGTGTGTGTGTGTGTTTAAACTAAGGTGATTGTTCATGTGGGTATCTAGAAAATAACTCAAAGCAAATCACAGGATAGGCAAATCTTGATGCGTTAGCTATTTAGAATTGACTCATTTTATGAGACATTTGATTCATTTTTATGAGACTGTATCTTATATGGTATATCTAGTTCAATTTTTAAAATAGTAAATATATTGGGGGCTCAGTCGGTTAAATGTCCGACTCTTGATTTCAGCTCAGGTCATGATCTCAGGGTCATGAGATCGAGCCCCACATCAGGCTCCGCAATGGGCATGTAGCCTGCTTGGGATTCTCTCTCCCTCTTCCTCTGCCCCTCCCCCTACTCGTGTGTGCCTGTGTATGGGTGTGTGTGCGCGCTCTCTCTCTCTAAACAAACAAACAATACAAAATAAAACAAAATAGCAAATGTATTGGGAAGGCCTGAGGAAGCTTCACATGGGAAAATAAATACAAAATATCAAACCATAGCAGGTTAAAGCAAAACAGCATCCCTCCTGTCATGGCCATACCGCAGACATCCTCACCAATGCTGGGACTGACTCAACTCAGGGGCCCCAGAGTGGCATCTCCTCCTGTCTACGTCACCTGCCCTAAGTACGAAGTTATATTTACACCAGGCAGCTTTGAAACAGGAAATCAAGTCACTTCTTGCCAACATTCGCATTATGCTTGGCCTCTATGAACTACACAGTTGAAGTGCCCTCCTCCTTACCTGAATTGTCAGGTTGCTTTTGGTATTCAGGACTTTCCTCTCAGCATCCTGGAAGGCCTTCTGCAGTCTCTGTTCCATCGTCTGAGCAAACTTGCAGGACTGGATGTTGTCGGATTGGCTCACAAACTGCAGCACTAGAATGAGAGTAATAAATCAGCACTCGCCAAAGTTGTGTGTCTTAGTTCCTTGGACTTCACAGCAGTCATCTTATAAAACAGCATGATTTTATATCCGGGAAATCAGGCAAACAAGGACTGACAAGGTTTGGTTGTACCTTTGGAAGTGGCTCTTAAAATGATTTGTAATAAAGAAGAATTAAAAGCATGATCAAACCTGAGGTTCCCCTTAATGGAAAAGATTTTGTGATCATTTGGTTGGACTATGCAGACATCTGCTCCAAGAATGATAAAAAACAATCAAAGAGATATCATGCCTTCTATTTCTTTGGCGGGGGGCAGTCAATTGACCTGTATCACTAAGTTGATCAAATCTTTCAATTTCAACGGTTTCTCCACTCCTGTGGTTTGCCAACCATCTGACCAGAATCACGAGGGAGCTTGAAAGGAAGATTCCAAGGCCTCAGCTCAGAGATTCTGATTCAGGGGCATCTGAAACGTGCTGCTCCAAAGCATAGATTTTTATGGATGCTCAGCTCTTATCAGTATCCACTGGTAACACAGAAAAAAATTAAAAATACGGTGCTTGTTGCTCATAAAGTACTAATTATATAAATTGAGAGGGAAGGGTCCCACGAAGGACTATTTCTAATAAATCCAGGGTTGGAAGGTTAGGTTTCTGTGCAGGGAGCCTGGACAGTTGATTAGCAGGGCCCTTTGAGGAAGGCACACAGGACTTTAAGAGATGATAAAGCAGCTAGCACTGAAGTGTTTAAACAGGTATCCTCTTGATAATGCCCCTGATCCCGGAATGGACAGGAATCCTTTCCTTCTGAGGTACTTGCCTGTTCTCAGCTGGAAGTAGCCTGCAGGCTGGGGGTTCCACGGGGAGGCAAGGACTGCCACCGACTGCAAGTTTGGGGTATGTTGCTTCAGATCTGCAGTGACGTTGCTGACCCCATAAACACCCAGCATTTCGATCACTACAGCAGGCAAGTACACCAGCCTCCCTTTGGTAGCATAATAACCAACGGTGACGTTATGAGAATGTTCCAGAATATCCACCTACAAAACAAAGAGACCCACAGAACTCGGTGTTTATTTCCACAGTACTTTAAGTTTTTCTTGGTATTTCTTAGAACCACAACTATTACTTAGCAGGGCTGGGGAATAAGATGTTCTCACTCAGCAAATATTCTAATAATCCTATAAAGCATATGTGGATCGGCAAGTCTCAAAATACCAGAATACAACAAAATACAATTTATTTCCAACCTCCATGGAATCGCATTAAATCTGTGGGGGTTTCCTTGATTCCTTAAATGCCTCAGTATAATCCTGTGAGCACCAACGGTCCCTGAAGAAGGCAGAGAGGAGATGGCAGGCAAAAGAGATTTCCAGAAATGAAATGCCGGGAAAGACAGCTTTCTTATAGCTCTCATTATTTATGAAAATTAAAAGGCAGAGATAATAGATGCAGTGGGGGCTTCTTCAGGACAGGGATTAGGTAGTAAATGAGGTGAATTCCTCTTCCTAAAAGCTAAGAGAAGAACTGTTCAGACTTCACTCCATTCCTGGCTTGCAAGTTGGTTCAAGAATGAGGTGAGGAATGGGGATGAGCCATGGAGAGCCTCTCTTAAAACTGAGTCTTAAGAGACACCGATGCACTGACTTCTTTCTGACCCAACTGGAAGATTTTGAGGCTTTAGATTTTATTCTTATTTTGTTTTGCTTTCTTAGTGTTTTTTTTTTTTTAAAAGATTTATTTCTTTATTTAAGAGAAAGTGACTAAGAAAGTGGCTAAGAAAGTGACTCCCACTCCAATTCTAATGACGTTCAGGAGCAAGTCTCAGTTTAGGGATTATTTTTATTTTTAGTACCTCTCTAATGCTCGCTAATCATATTTTTAAACAAAAAAGACCCCAGGGACATCAGCTTTAGAGCCTTCCTCAAGCAACAATGTTGAGCTTGAATTTACCAAGTCATTACCATTATTCTCACTTTTATGATTACCTTTTATTTGTGGCAAATGATCCTGATTTCCACTCATGGCAATACTATCAAACATCCTTTCAAACGTTTTTAAAAATGGGCTGATTTTTAAAAATGAATTCATAACTAATTGTCACAGTGGTCTGTGATGATACGCAGAAAAGGTGAACACTGAAGGTAGTTTGCAAACAACCGAAGTTTGGTGAAAATTACATGTCAGGTGACCAAATACAAATACTCACATTTTCAACTTTCAAGTAAAGTTTCTGATACAGAAACCACAGATGCTTTTCATGAAATGCATTTCTTTTTCTTCTCTCAGAATTATACAAAAGGGATTGACAGGGGCGCCGGGGTGGCTCAGTCCGTTGAGCATCTGACTCTTGGTTTCAGCTCAGGCCATGACCTCAGGGTCATGGTATCGAGCCCTGTGTCGAAGTCCATGCTCAGCTAAGAGTCTGCTTGAGATTCTCTCCCTCTCCCTCTGCTCCTCCCCATACCCCCCCAAAAAAGAGATTGACAATGACCAATAAACTATGTACCAAACCTCATTCCTAGTCCTTGGTGTGGTCATGGAGACCACGAAGCTGAATGCAGCTGCAGGACAAGCCTCAAAGGAAAAGAGCCAGAGCAGTATTTTTAAAGTGGTGAAAATGGTTGTCCACCAACTGCCAATCACATTTAGGTCTTTAAAACTTGGCATCAATCCCAAAGAGTGCAAAGGAAGGCTTCCATCGCTTGGATATGCCATGGAAATCAGTTGGCAGTTGTTAAATAGTACTTGGCATTAAAGTGCTTGGGGGAAAAATGTTTATTTCCCTGTCTGCTGCTGGTTATTGAAGCAAAGTTGGACTCAATTTACAATAATTTTTAAATGCCCAGAAATAAATCACTATTTACAATGCTGAGGAAGATAAAGGGAAAAGCAATGGACAGTTTCTTGAGAATTACACCACCAATATTAAATACTTTCCCTAAACAATGGGATAATGGGACAATTTAAAACAGTTCATCTGGGCTTGAAAAAAAATAGACATAAGGCAATTAACTTCCATTTTTCCATCTCAAAATTTGACCTTTTTCTCCCCAGTCACCACACATTAGCTATTTGCCAAAATGAGGAAACATGCTACTTCTGACAAGTCCAGTTACGGTACCCAGGGAGGAGGAAAACAATCCAAACGTACTCTGGGCCCAACAGGAGGATGATGTAGACAGCTTAGTCTAATTACAAAAGCGAGGGGCTTACGTGAGCTGAGACGTCATTCTGATGGAAAGCCTTCCGTAATGCCTGCGTGAGCCCTTTGGCTACACTGAACTTCAAGGTTTCACCAATCTGCGCTCTCCTCTGGGTCAGAAAGAGAACTGTGGGACCAAACAGAAGCACGGTAGTCAGGGTAAGGCAGACCCCCTCATTACTGAGCTCCCCTCTCCTCTCCCCCCCTCCACCTCCTGCCAAGTTCTGAATAGAGCTGGTGAGCGCAAGTCCAACCAATGGGGGCGGTGGGCTGCCGTAGTAGCTCTGTTGGTCCCACTCAAGTACCAAGAAGGGAGGCCCTCGTATTTGTGTGACCCTAGAGGAGAGACAGCTAATATGCTGGCTGCACTTCATTTCTGACCAACGCTGCCTTCGACTTTGAAAACTGGGTTCAGCGGTGCCTGGCCCTAATGGGTCTGCAAGAAAATGCACGCAAGAAAATTCCTGCAACAGCATTCCCTGACAGCCTGCTGACGTGCACACCCTGAGTGAGGTCCTGTAGCCTAAAACAGCCCTGAATCGGGAAGGGGCAGCCCCACACCCCACAACAGGGACAGAGCGTGGGATGGAGACCCGGGGTGGACAATAGGCACCTGTGATTAAAGGTGACAGGCACTATTTGAAGGGAAGCCTCTGATGCTGTCGAAGGCCTTAGGAGGAACGTCCAGCCCGGACTTGGGCAAGGGGGTGGGGTTCAGGGAAGGTTTCCTGAAGCTTCTGCTGAGTCCTGAAGGATAATAGGGAATGAGCTAGGCCAAGGGGAGAGGGACCGCCCCCACCTGCTCCCAGCAGAGAGAAGACCAAGTGCAAAGGCACAGTGGTGAGAAGCAAAGCCTCTCAGTATACATGTTTAGGCTTGGTCCTGTGGGCGACAGGAAGTGAAAGGTTTTAAGCAAAGGCATAAATTTTACAGAGTTCCGTTGCCTGCACACTGGAGAACAGATTGGAGGGGGGGGCTAGTCAAAGGCAGAGAGATAAATTTGGTTTTTGTTGCAGAAATTGAGGTGGGTGATGACAGGGTGAACCAGGGAAGGGGCAGTGGGGGGTGGAGAGAAGGGGTATTCAAAGAGTTAGAACTGAAGGGTCCCCGTGGTTGACCAGGTGTGGCTGGGGTGACAGGGGGTGATACAGAATGGGGGGAGAATGTTCCAGACTTCTGCATCTAGGTGGTTGGGGTGGCCTGCCTCTCAGAGGAGGGGGAATGGAAAACCAGATGGTATAATTTCTTGAGAAATAGAAAGTGATACTGTACTTTCTGCTATGCCTAGTTTCACAATTTCCCATTTTAGAATAGGGTACATCTCAAGATATAATTCATTTAATCCTTTGTGGGGTGAAGAGGAAGGCGGGACTCGAGCATTCAGCATTGGCATGCTCTTTCAAATAATGTGTCTAATGCTTTTTATAGCAAACACTACCACACTGTTAAAAGCAGCCTGGGCCTTCCTGCCCTGCTTGGCTGCAACAGGGAGGTGGGGGCTCGAGATAACAGACACCACCCAACTTTCTCAAGGCCTCCTTTTCAACATCAAAAGAAATCCTGGGCACCCTCATCATGCAGCTGTACTTTTATTATCCACTGGCTGAAAAAATACATAACAAAAGCCTTTCTGGGGGCGCCCGGGTGGCTCAGTCGGTTGAATTCTGTAGTGCTTCCAAGATTTGATATTTTACTAACCACTTCATTCATTCATGTGAGACATCCCTGATTTGTTCTACAGACAAAACTTGCTACACATTCGTCTTCTCAGGCCCCCTGGCAGAAATGGTTTCCCGAGGGGCCTCTGATATCAGGACTGATCCCGGGACTGGATTCCGTGTCACACAAAGCTCCCCCCTCTCTTCTGTCACTTATGATAAGGACCAGGGGTTGTCAACCTCAGCACTGTGACATTTGGGGCTGGATTATCCTTTGCTGTAGGACCGTCCTGTGCCCTGTGTGGTTTAGCAGCATCCTGGTCTCTGTCTCATTACATGTCAGTAGCACTCCCCCTACCCTCCAAGTCGCAGACACCCCAAAATGTCTCCAGACATGGCCACAAATGCTGTCTCGGGGGAGAAGGAGCAAAACTATCCCTGGTTAAGAACCACTCATCTCAAAGAAATCAAATAATTCTGCTACATCACTTTGCTGCTTTCAAGTAAAATCAGGACAGTGGACCCTCACCTGTCTTCACCAGGAGCTTACTGGACATCTGACACTCCAGGTTGGATGCCATTTTGCCAGCGGTGACCACGGCAGTTGACGCAGCGGGAAGAGCGGTGTCTGTATTTCCTGCTGGTGCAGGTGGCACGCGGGTGGCCCTCACTGGGGCGGTGATGGACGTCAAGGCTGCTGTGCTGGTCAGTGGGCGTGCGGTGGATGCCCTGGGCATGTCTGGGTTGGTGGGCTTTGGGAGGCCCGTGTGCATGGCTTGTGGTTTCCTGGGGAGGTGTGTTGTGGACAGCAGGCCCGAGGCGGTGCCTGGGTTGCCTTGCATGGCTGTATGAGCACTCACGGTGTGTGCTGTTCTTGCAAACATGTAGGTTGGTGTGAATGAGAAGGCTGGATGCACCGCCCCCGCTGTCGTCTTTGGGCCAGGCACTGCGCTGTTAGTGGCATTTTTAGCCAGGGCAGTGGTCCAACTGCTCTTGACTAATCCCGAGGCCATGGCTGCTGGGCTGCTGCCGGGGGCCTTGGCGACCAGGGCTGCAGACAGCACCTGTGGACTTGATTTCCCCAGGGACAACGTGGCTACTGCTGTTGTGGCTGTCAGTTCCACCCTGGACGACACTGAGGGGTCCGCTGCAAAGAGAAAAAAAGCAAAGTCTGTCTTTGGTCCGCACAGCTCGTGTCACTTGTTGTGGTGACGGATGGATGTAACTTACAGGTCTGCTGGAGTGAAAAGTCTCTGTGCTCTGGAATTTAGGCAAAATGGCTCTAGGTTCATTAAGTCAATTACCCATAGTGAGGATGCCACTTACAGAAACCTGTGGTTGGCAAGAAGGACATTTAAATTCTGAATACAGATCTTCCTCACCTTACGATGGGGTTATGTCCTAATAACCCCATCGTAAGTTGAAAATATCATAAATCAAAAATGCATGTAATACACCTAACCTATCGAACACCATAGCTTAGCCTGGCCCACCCTCACCGTGCTCACAATACTTCCCTTAGCCTACAGTTGGGCAAAATCGTCTGACACAAGCTGATTTTATAATAAAGTGCTGAGTATCTCATGTAATTTGTGGAATACCGTACTGAAAGTTAAAGAATAGTTGTGTGGGTACAGGATGGTTGTAATTGTATCATTGTTGACCCTCATAATCGTGAGGCCGACTGGGAGCTGTGACTTGCTGCCCTGCTCAGCATCACCAGAGAGAATCACACTCATCACTAGCCCAGGAAAAGATCCAGATTCAAAATTCGAAGTAGGATTTCAACTGAATGCCTATTATTTTCGCGCCGTTATAAGCTGAAAAATTGTAAGTCGAGCCATTGTAAGTTGGAGACTGACTGTACTTTCAAAAAACTCAAGTCAGCAGAGGATCGAGGACATGGCTCTCTGGGGCTGCTAACTCGTTCATCATCCTCAAAGTGTGTTTCTGCTCCTTCTAAGCAAAGCTGGGTATCTGTGTTGAACTTGAAGATCCTTTGTCCACAGAAGCAGTCATACCTGTTTTGGGGGTACCGGAAAACAAACTACCTGTATGAGTGGCTGTCCATTTGTCGGGGCCCTGAGAAGCCAGCCGCACTTTGGACGGGGTCCTGAATCCGGCCCTGGTCGACAGAGGAGGAGATTCAGCTGTACTGTGACATCTCAAGAGACTCTGGAGTGGTGGAAAAGCACTTATCACAGGAGATGGAGAGATGTCACTGGAAATGGAGAGACTCGTATCCCTTCCATCTGAAAGCACTTCGTGCAAGCTGGCTGTGGAAGTCAGCCTTGGAGAAGTTGGAGAAAGAGCACGTGTTGGATGCACAGGCAGCTGCAGATGGGGACGAGACGCAGCATGTTGGCTTGCAGATGGGTACTCTCCAACCTCAGCTGTTTGGAAGTCTCTGGAATAGTTACTAGTTATGGACACGAAGTCTGTATGGTTTCCAACCATGGTAACCTCTGACTGTTGAATGGGCTGGTTGGGGCTTGTACGAAGGACTGGAAGCTGAATGTTAAAGCCTTCTGCAGTCACTAAATGCCCAGCAGTAGCTCTGAAATCTGAAGATTTTATTGTACTGGCAGCTGAAGTTGAACCACTGGGAGGAGGAGTTGAAGCTGAATGAGTTTCCCAACTGGTGGAGTTAATTGTGTGCCCATTTAAATCATAATTTGTTTGCTGCAGCAAGCCAGATATCATTGGCTCTATGGAGAGGGATCCAGTTTCTGTGGGAAGAGAACTCCAGAAAACATCTGTGGTTGCTGGCTTTTTCACATGTCTCATTGTTGAGAAATCATAGACCTCAGCGGAGGAGGGAAATGCTGTCACCTGCTGGGAAGTTGAGACTGGAGACTCAGAGTGGTCTACCACAGCTGCATGAGCCTCTGGGTTGATGTTGGACAAGCTGGGGGATGGGGAAATAGTCTGGGTGCTTCGTACGGAGGGCATGGAAGGGAGAGCTAATTCTGTAGGAAGGTTTGTTCTTAGTGTTGTAATGAAAAAAGATGAAATATGATCTGTGCTGGAATCAGAGGTGAACCCATTTACAGTGTGAAGACTTGGAATCTCTTTACTTGGAAGGGTCTGGACAGCAACCGTCAAATTTGCCTTTTCGTTTTTCTTTAAAACAGTTTTCACGCTCTCTTCTTCCCACAGGGGAAAGGCCCAAGTCGTGGAAAGAAGATTGGGGGATTTGCTTGAGAGGGGGAGGTCTGTAGCTGCAGTAGGAGGGGCTCCATCGGTGCCCTCCTCTTGAGGAGTTGGCATTTGGGGCACCGTGGATGGGGAGGCATGAATCTGAAGCAGCTGGGGGAAAGTGGGAGCCGAGGGAAAGGCTGTTGCTGTGCTTTTCCATGCCCCAAGAAGGACGGCTTGCCCTCTGCTGGCAGTGGGGAGAGGCAGAGGAGAAGGCACCAATGAGGAAGCCGTGTGTTCTGCCGAAAGGACAGGCCCTTCGGAATTCTCTGGAGCTGCTGACAAATGCCGTGGGTGAGCGGAGTCATTTGCGGTAGCAGGGGCTAGCTTTCTGCTGGTTGTTTCCACTGCCACTGATTCTGCAGTCTGGAAAAGCGAAGACACAGCCTCCTGGGTCCCTGCTGCTGCGGCTGCACTCTTAGCAGTAGGCAAAGACACCCCACTGTGCACTCCTTCAGCCACCCCAGCTTTGACAGGGTGGGTGGATGTGGGACTTGAAGCCACTTCCGACACTGACCATGAGGGAGGTCCAACTGGAAGCCGAGGAAGACTTCCAGGCACCAGGGGAGGGGGAGGCAGACGGGCCAGTTCTGCCATGGAGCTCAAAAACTCAGGTGTGGGGGAGCCCACGGAGTGAGGACCCGCTAGGCGGGGCAGGTCGGGCCGCTGCACTGCTGAGGATCCAGAAAAACCTAGATGTGGGATGCCTATCAAGTCCTGGGCATTTTTGGACCGAGTGTGGTTCATTTCACCAGCAAATGGGCTTGGGGAATTAGCTATGCTCTGACTTGAAGAGGAGCCAGGTGGAGCTGTTTGGGGGAAGAAAGGCACTTGGGTGGGTCGTTTGGCTGGTTTAGAAAAGATGATGGAATGAGGTGAGTCAGGAGGCAATGAAGAGGATGAAGGTGGAGGGAAAAATGGGAGCATGTCTGATCTTGGGGAATGTTGTGTTGAAATGGAAGGAGTCCCTACCCATACTGGCTGAGATGGGGTCGTGGACAATGAGGGGAGCATGCTGGTGTGAGGCAAACCTGACATGGAGGTTGCATCTTTTCCCCCTTGAGGTCTCGGCTGGACCACAGACTCCGTGGAATCCTTGGAAGGCTCGAGGGAGGCGCTATGGCCACTTCCTTGGTAAGGGGAGGAAGAGAAGTCCCCGTGAGCCCTAGCTCTGCGGTGTGTCTTGGGCGGAGGTGTTCGGGGGAACTGCAGCACGCTAGTGTTGTCAGGGGCCGGTCCCAGCACATTCTGGATTCTGGCCACTGCCGAGGAAGACTGGACTTCGGAGAAAGGCCATGTTGGTGCAATCGGTAACACTTTCCCATGAGGAAATGACTCCGGGGTCGGGCTGACTGTTATCTGTAGATTGTCTATTCCTGTGAAACAAAATACCACATAATCAGACATCAGCTGGTCATCAAGTGCCTGCGGTGGAAGGTCTTGGAGAGAAGGGGTGGGCAAAGCAGACACCGCTCCCATCTCACAGAGCTGCCGCCCCAGCACAGAAGACTCATTAACTGTATTCAGACAATGACGTAATTGCACAGATGTAAATGCTGAGCTACCCTACGGGGCAGGTATGGTGAGTAACAGTCTCTGATGAAGTGATATTTGAGCAAAGATGCAGAAGATACCTGTGTATCTTAAATCTTTTTTTCTGTACCACCTACAAGGGTTGGACTGTAAAACTCACAACCTAGAAAATCAAAGATCAATGTGACCACCTGCCGTGGCCAATGACACCAAAATAAACCTCATGCAAGAAACCCAAAATGCAAAATGAAAGGATAGTATATCTGGATGCAAATGTGTTTTTAGGACCCTAAGTCTTCTCCAGCCAAATAACTGAGGTTGTCTATGCTTGGAAAGATGGCCCCAGTGACAACTTTCTCTCTCTGAAAGATAAACTATGCACATCCAACTGAGGACTGGAGACACCTCACAAGACCCAGTGTCACTACAAGCACCAACAGAGAAATCAGACTGTCAGTACCAATATTTCCCATGTAAAGCTGCAGGCAGAAAGGAAAGAAGAGAAAGGCACAAAATGGTGAGCTCCACAGGAAAGGAGGCAAGAACATAACTGAGCAGAAAGCTGGAAATTTCATGCTCGGGAAGAGAACAATCCTGCTTGACGATTCTCTGGTCCCCTTTCCATGGTTCTGCAGTGTTGATGGTGTTCATGACCACAATAAGTGCCCTTAAGTCATATTTTAAATTAAAAGTAAAAAAGAAAAGGTACTTCTAGAGCTTTCTCCATTACTACCTAAAAATGTTAGAACAATCTGACAGAAACAAGCCAAGGAGAACTGAAGTTAGAAAATCTGGTTTGAAGTGGAGTGGGGTGAGGAGGTGAAGACAGGTGATGTACAGGAGCAAATTTGTGTTTTAGAACAAGCATTCTGGTTATGGAGTGAAGAATAGAACAGACTGGAAAGGGGTGGGAGTGGATGACAGGAGAGACCAGAAGGAATCCCTCTGCCCCCACAGTGGTCCAAGCATGGGATGACTGGAAAGTTGTGAAAAGGAGTTGAGCCATGGTAGAGGATTGAAATAGATCATCCTTTATGACCCCTTTCAATTCTCAGATAATCTAGTCCTTTAAATATATTTGTGTTTGTCTATGTGTTTTTTTTTTAATGGCTGCAATTTCTCCTATATGCCTCTCATTAAGAGGTGAGGTCTATGTCCCCTTCACCTGCAGCCAAGTGGGCTTGAGACCATTCAGCCAATTTCAGTGTGGCAGAAGCAATGCCATCTGGCTTCTAAGGCTACCATCACAAAAGGCCAGGCAGCTTCCACTTGGCCTCTTGGAAGGCTTGCTCTCCATATACTCCCTTACTCTCCCTCCTGGAGCTGCCACCACTCTGTGAGCAGCCCAAGCCACATGGAGAGGCCATGTATAAGTACTGCAGTCAACAGTCCCAGCTGAGCCAAGACTCCCAGTCATCCCTGCCCATGTGAATGAAGAAGCCTCCAAGGAATTCTAGTCCCTAACCATTCAAGTCACCCTGGCTGTTTCAGTCTTCCCTCCTGAGTCCCCAAGAATCATGAAGCAGAGAGAAGCTTTCTTCACTGTGCTCTGTCTGGATTCCTGAAACCATGAGCATTATAAAATGGTTGCTATTTTACCACACTAAGCTAGGGGTGGTTTGCTATGCAGCAATAATAACTGAAACAATACAGGATTGTGTCCCTCACTTCTGGGAAATGAATCTCTATAGCTTTAATGAGATTCTCAAAAGGATTCAGAAGCCAAAATACAGCTAAGAACTCTTCATTTCAATGAAAATTACTTCTGCTTTATACACAAGATTTTAAAATTATGTCTCTGCTAATAAATAAAATATATTTGTATTAATTGACCTAACATGGAAGGGGTAGAAAGGGAAGAAAAAATCTTGAGGGGGAAATGAGAGGTAATTTATTAAGAAGAGAAAAGTAAATTAAGAGAAGTAGGACAAAACCAAATTACAGAAAGCTTAAAACACTCAAAAAAAGGCAGTGAAGTAGAAGTGTGATACAGGTTGCATATAGGAGTGTGTTTGACACACTCTACAGTATTCCCATGATCCCTGTCTCTTGGCGGTCATGTCTTTGTGTGACCCCTCTTCTTGAGTATGAGCAAGACCTATGACTTGCTTCCAACCAATATAGCAAAGGTGATGGGATATTACATTTGTGTTTATATCATCTAAGACTCAGTCTTGCTAGTAGACTTGCTGTCCTTGATGGCTAGATGAAATAAGAGGCCATACTGGGAAAGCCCATGTGGCAAAGGGCTGTAGGTAGCTTCTAGAACTGCAGGCCGTCTCCAGAACTATGAGCAGCTTCTCAGAGGTGAGGCTGGTTTCCCACTGACAGCCAGCAAGAAGCTAGGGCCTTCGATATGGAAGCCACAAGGAAATGAATTCTGCCAACAACCTGAGTGAACTTGGAAGTAGATCCTTCCCCAGCCAAGGCTCCAGATGAGTACACAGCCCAGCTGACAAGACAACTGCAGCCCTGTAACAAACCTTGTGCACAGGACCCGAAGAAGCTGTGCCCATGGAAACCGGGAAATCATGTGCATGTTATTTTGAGCCAGAAGTTTGTGGCAATCTGTTATGCAGCAATAGAAAATTAAGAGAGGTAGGAAGTAAGGAGCTGTAGAAGGTTATATGGTGAATGGGAGTGTAGGAAGAAGAGATGGAGCATGAGGTACCATGACTGGAGAGTAGCACAAAGGATGGCGAGAAGTTGCCATCAAGACAGTAAAAAAGAAGCCCAAGTTAGTATGTTTGTTTGGAATATCACAGAGAAGCTGTGAAACAACAATTCTCACATAGTACCTGGGACTCAGAGGAAGTTATCTGAAGAGAACACTGGGCTTTGCAAGAGCAGAAACAAACTGAGGGTTCTAGAGGGGAGGGGGTGGGGGATGGGGTAGCCCGGTGATGGGTATTAAGGAGGGCACGTACTGCATGGAGCGCTGGGTGTTATACGCAAACAACGAATCAAAAACTAATGATGTAATGTATGGTGACTAACATAACATAATAAAATAAAATTAAAAAAAAAAAAAAAAAAGAGCAGAAACAAAGCCACACCAGAAACAGCAGCAGACACGTTGGAATGTTGCTATGAAACAGGTTGTACTCTTCGGTTTAAATCCCATTTTTCAAAGAAAAAAAGAAGCCACACCATTCTAATCAAATTACTGAATTATTTTCTTCTCAGTGAAATCTGAGTCTCCAATCCACCCCCTTCTCCAGTCCAAAACCCCTAACTCCCTTCTACTTACAAGGACATGAACTATTCTTTGTGGACAAATATGGTTAAGTCTTTAAAAAAAAATGCACAGAACGCAATGATATAGCCTACATACTAGAGGGGGAGACAACAGGCAATGGTATTTTCCTGCATAAGCCCCTAACCAGCTATCCTTTCTGAACATTAAAAATATCACTCATTCTTAAAGAACCCCACAAAAACACAAAAACAGAAACAAAAACCAAATATCACTCATTCTAGGGACAAGCCAACAATTACCCGTGTTTGGACAGTGTGTCCCACACCAAGGGACTGGTCATCTAAAGAATTTTAAGAGGAAGTAGCTTAAATGGTAAGAGATTTAAGGAGGTTCTGGATAAAGAAAGACGGGGAGCAGAGATGGATTTATGTTGGAAATAACTTGCTTATTCAGTTTGCATAGAGTCCCATCAGGGCTAAACTTATCCTTGAACTGAAGTTCATTAACTAATGAAATATAAAACAGGTTAGGGAGTACTTGGCCAGGTTTTGTAAGCAGAATGTCAGAAACGGTGAGAACTGCCTCCCTAGTCTCCCCAGACCTCGAGCCCCCGCTGGTAACACCCAGATGCATAACGAAAACGATGGGTTGTTAGGGCCTCGGTCTTCCCGAAGCCCTCCGAGCTGCTAGAGCATCTTTCCCAATACTGGCACATAACACCGGACCTGGGCTCCAGGCGTGCTCTGCTCAAAGTATTCCCGCTGCATGGCCTACAAACCTGAACCTCGCAAAAGCCCACACGTCCATCAGGCTCCTCTGCTGCTTTTTCTCTGCTCTGAACCTCTTTCTTCAGTCCCTATAGGACTGTGTCAGTCCCCTGTCCATGGCTGTTTTCACCCCAGACCCCAGCAGAGATCCTCCTTTCCAAAACATCAGAGTCTCCTACTTAAGAAATATTCTCCACGCAAGATCAAAGGGCCTCCCAACGCTGCCCTGGATGGCTTCCTGGTTTCCT